TCTTGGACCACACATAAAATACATTAACACTAACAAACAGCTGATGACCTTAAAAAAAAAAATGCAAAAATGGGCCGGACACGGTGGCTCACACCTGTAATCCCAGCACTTTGGGCAGAGGCAGGCAGATCACAAGGTCATGCATTGGAGACCACCCTGACCAACATGGTTAAACCCCGTCTCTACTAAAAATACAAAAATTAGCCGGGTGTGGTGGCCAGCATGCCTGTAATCCCAGCCACTCAGGAGGCTGAGGTAGGAGAATTGCTTGAACCCGGAGGCAGAGGTTGCAGTAAGCCCAGATACGGAGGTCCTGGAGGTTGCAGTGAGCCGAGACCGTGCCACTGAACTCCAGCCTGGGCGACAGAGCAAGACTCTAAATAAATAAATAAATGCAAAAAAATCTCATGTTTTAAGAAAGTTTATGAATTTATGTTGGGCTGCACTCACAGCTGTTTTAGGATGCATGCAGCCTGCAGGTTGTGGGTTAGACAAGCTTGGTCTAAGTAGTGATCATCTGGGTGAAGGAGACTATACTTGTACAGCACGTATAACGGTAACTTTGTGCCGTTTTACCAACATCTCCCCACTCTCCCGCCTCCCAGGCCCTGTTGACTACCATTCTACTCCCTGCTTCTATGTATTCAATCTTTTAAGATTTCACATATATGTGAGATCACGCCATAGTTTTATTTATTTATTTTTTGTTTTGCTTTTGAGACGGAGTCTCGCTCTGTCACCCAGGCTGGAATGCAGTGGCGCGGTCTCGGCTCACTGCAACCTCTGCCTCCTGGGTTCAAGCGATTCTACTCCCTCAGCCTCCCAAGTAGCTGAGACGACAGGCACACAACGCCACGCCTGGTTAATTTTTTTTTTTTTGAGACGAGGCTCGCTCTGTTGCCAGGCTGGAGTGCAGTGGTGCGATCTCCACTCACTGCAAGCTCCGCCTCCCAGGTTCACGCCATTCTCCTGCCTCAGCCTCCCAAGTAGCTGGGATTACAGGCGCCCGCCACCGCGCCCGGCTAATTTTTGTATTTTTAGTGGAGACGGGGTTTCATCATGTTGGCGAGGATAGTCTCGATCTCTTGACCTCATGATCCACCCTCCTCAGCCTCCCCAAGTGCAAGGATTACAGGCGTGAGGCACCACGCCCAGCTGCCATAGCTTTATTTCTGTGTCTGGTTTATTTCATTCAGCATAATGTCCTCCAGGTCCGCCCATGTTGTCACAAATGCCAAGATCTCCTTTTCTTTTTTCTTTTTGGCTGTAAATTTATTCATTGCAAAATAATCTTCTCCAGTTTTACCGAGGTGGCTGACCACGTCCATGACCAAATCTGCCTGTAAACTGGAATTCAGTTGCTGACCCAGCCCCAGCCTCAGCTTTCTTGTTGGCACCAGGGGGCACAGCACTCCGTCGGTTGGTATCTCTGTCGGCTTCCCCTCTTGTGAGTCTTGCAGGTCACTCACCCTACAGACCTTCAGGCCAAGGCCTGCCAGTCTCCAGACAGCTGCGGCGTCGAGTGGCAGGCCCAATCTCTCGGGGGTAGATGAAGGTAATCATGGAGATACTGGAGGTAATCATGGAGATACTTTACCTCAGTGGTAAGGTAACAGTAGAAATGTCTCCAGGCACTGGGCCTGGTGGCTCATGCCTGTAATCCCAACATTTTGGGAGGCTGAGGTGGGTGGATCATCTAAGATTGGGAGTTCGAGATCAGCCTGACCAACATGGAGAAACTCTGTCTCTACTAAAAATACAAAATTAGCCGGGGGTGGTGGTCAATGTCTGTAATCCCAGCTACTCAGGAGACTGAGGCAGGAGAATCACTTGAACCTGGGAGGTGGAGGTTGTGGTGAGCCGAGATCGCACCACTGCACTCCAGCCTGGGGACAGAGTGAGTATTGGTATTATTTTATTCTTAATATGTATTGAAAATTCCCCAAGTGCCTTATAAAATGTCTTTTTGGCCAGGTGCCATGGCTTACGCCTGTAATCCCAGCATTTTAGGAGGCAGAGGTGGGTGGATCACCTGAGGTCGGGAGTTCAAGACCAGCCTGGACAACGTGGTGAAACCCCATCTCTACTAAAAATACAAAAATTAGCTGGGTGTGGTGGCACGTGCCTGTCATCCCAGCTACTTGGGAGGCTGAGGCAGTAGAATCACTTGAGCCTGGGAGGCAGAGGTTGCAGTGAGCCTAGATTGTGCCATTGCACTCCAGCCTGGGTGACAGAGCAAGACTCCATCTCAAAAAAAATTAAAATAAAATAAAATGTCTTTTTTTTTTTTTTTTGAGACAGAGTTTCGCTCTTTTTGCATGAACCACCGTGCCCGGCCAATAAAATGTCTTTTTAAAGTTGGTTTGTTCAAATCTGGATTGAAAGAAGTTTTATGTTTTACATTTAGAAATTTTATTGGTTTCAACTAAAAAAATATCATTGCCTTGTTGAGTAGAGTAGGTAACTGTCCTGTATTATTTCACACATTTCTGTGTCATTTCCTGTGTCACTTAACTTATTCCTTGACCCCCATATTTTCTGTAAACTGAGAGTTAGTTATAAAGGCTTGCTAAATTCAGATTTAACTTTTTTCTTGACAAGAATAATTCATAGATGATGTAGTGTACAGTTGACTCTTGAACAACATGGGTACAAGCTGAGCAGATCCACTTATACAGATTTTATTCTGCCTCTGCTACCCGAGACCAACTTCTCCTTTTCTTCCTCAGCCTACTCAACCTGAAGATGACGAGGATGTAGAGCTTTATGATCTACTTCCACTTAATGAATAGTAAATATATTTTTCCTATGATTTTTTCCTTTTTTCTTTTTTGAGACAGGGTTTCTTTCTGTCACCCAGGCTGGAGTGCAGTAGCACAATTATAGTTCACCGCAGCCTCGGCCTCCTGGACTAAAGTGATCCTCCTGCCTCAGCCTCCCAAGTAGCCAGGACAACAGGTACTCACCACCATGCCTGGCTAAATTTTAACATTTTTTGTAGAGGTAGCATCCCACTATGTTGTTCAGGTTGGTCTCAAACTCCTGGGCTCAAGTGACCTCCCATAGTGCTGGGATTACAGGTGTAAGCCTCTGTGTCCAGCCTTCAGCATTTTTTTTTTTTTAAATTTTTTGCCTTCCTGAGCTGTAAACATCCACTTTTAATAAGGATTTAACTTTCTCATATCAGAAACAGGGCTTGGTTGCCCTTAATATTGTTACCAGTTTTTTAGTTCTGTTCCTCAACGTATTTGATCCAGGTATCTGCCTTATACAACAGCCTCCTGGTGACCATCTCCCTAATAAGACATGTAGATAAAACCTACTTGACTCACCCCACTGGCCTGCGCACCCCACAGGGGACTGTATACATTTGCTGCAAGGACTACCTCTCATACAGTGTGACCCCACAAAACTCATGCCTGCTTACCTCAAATCCACCAACTAGAATGCCCCTTGGGAAATGCACTGGACCCCAATAAAGGCCTTGGCCCATTGGTCTCTCTCTCTCTGGCTCCTCAACCGCTAGGTGAGCAGCACTGCCCCTGCAGCCTTCTCATCAGCCCTCAACAGTACTGTCTTCTCTCATGGACCTGTAATAAAACTGTTTCTGTTATTTAATGTGTTTTTGTTGCGTTACCTCCTCTATGTCAAACTCTACTAACACATGGGCTTAACTTTTCTCCTGGTCAGGGCTCTCCTACAGAGCGGCTGTCTTGGCATGAATAAGCTGGAAATAGGTCCGACAAGAGCCACAGGGTGTTTGTCAGTATAAACAAGTTTCCTGTGAGAGGGACTCCTGGTCACAGATTGGATACTCAGGCATTAGGCCATCCACTAGGATAAAGAAATATCCCATCAAAGGCACCCTGTAAATATCCACTACCAAATCCCCTGGAGTTGGGGCAGGGCAGGGCTGGAGGGTATAGCCACTCTCTGGAGAAACCCCAAGATCAAATAAGAGAGAAATATACTACCTCTCTGACCTTACTCCAGTATTTTTCTTTACTCACTACTTGTCACCGGCTTCCTTGCTATTATTACAGCTTGACAGTCCCTTCCCCATACACTTTCTCAAGCCATGCACTCTGAAATGAAATTTGATGAGGATCTATTTCCAAGCCTATTCCCTCAACTCAAATGTTTGCTCAGATTCCACGTTCTCCAAGATACCTGACCACCCACCTCACATAGCTAACTCTCCCGCATGCACAGCACTCTCATACAGGTGACATTGACCTGCTTTTCCCCATCACCACAGTATCTGATCAGCATCTAACACACTACAGCAATTCTTTGTGTTTACTATTTTATTGTTTCCTTTCTCCCCTCCAGGAAGTCTGCTGCTTAAGGATGGAAACCTTTGTTTTGCTCATCTAATACAATTCCAAATTGCAGGCAGATGTTCAGCATCCCTAATCAAAACACATAAAATCAAAATGCTCCATAATCTGAAACACTGAGTGCTGCCATGACACCCAAGTGGAAAATTCCACACCCTACACTTTTGCTTTCTGAGGGTTCAACGTACACAAACTTTGTTCCATGTAATTACCTGCAGGCTGTGTGTATAAAATGAATTTTTTCTTTCAAATTGTGTCCCATCCCCAAGATATCTCATCGTGCATAAGCAAATATTCCAAAATCCCCCCCAAAATCTGAAAGCTGAAACACTTCTGGTTGCAAGCATCTTGGAAAAGGGATACTACACTAAGCTTTGATAAGTCAGTAAAAAAAAAAAAAAAAAAAAAAAAAAAAAAAAAAAAAAAAAAAAAAAAAAAAAAAAAAAAAAAAAAAAAAAAAAAAAAAAAAAAAAAAAAAAAAAAAAAAAAAAAAAAAAAAAAAAAAAAAAAAAAAAAAAAAAAAAAAAAAAAAAAAAAAAAAAAAAAAAAAAAAAAAAAAAAAAAAAAAAAAAAAAAAAAAAAAAAAAAAAAAAAAAAAAAAAAAAAAAAAAAAAAAAAAAAAAAAATACAATAATATAAATTATCAATAAAATAAAAAAATTATAGGCAATTTGAAAACATTTTATTAGACATGTTAAGTAACATAATTCTAAAATATTTTATCTTAGAAATCAAAGCACTTGACAATTGATATTCATAGACTAAATATATGAAAGTGGCATTATGAACATCTTTTTATAGTTGCCAAAAATTTAGGAGAAAAATCAACTCTGGTTTTCAGTGGTAAAACTTAAAGATTCCAGAAATGAGATTAAATTTACTGGCTAAGTTATCTACAAAAACTGAAACAGACTCATTTACCAATTCCTTCTTTCAGAATCTGATACTGAGCAGATTTTAAGAGGTTCAGAATCTGTTCCAGTATAGAAATAAGGCCAAAGGGCTTCTGTGAAAGAATCATTAAAAGTATAGAGAACAGACCTATCATTCATATTATAAAAGGAAAGATCGCCCAATTCATAGTCCAGAAAAATACCAATCTTACTGGGTTTTACTACTGGCAAAAGCCGGGTTGTCTTAGGACCTGATGCAACATAACCACTCTTCATGTATCGCCCAATTGCCCAGAATCCACCCAGAACTGATGGCTGATCCTGCCAGTTCCTAAGAAGACAGGCTTGACACACACCCAATATCCATTTAGGTTTGTTTCCCACTTCTACCTCCCAGTAATGTCGCCCAGAACTCAATCGCTGAGAGCCTAGGACAGCAGGGCAGACATAAAATCTCTTTGGGTTATAACAAATGTTTGGTTTTGTTCTTCCATATCGCACAGCTTTTCTATCCTCAGAGACAATAAGTTGAGGATGTGCTGTGTCAAGATCTAGGATCACATCTACTTGAAATGGCTTGATAATTCTGTCCAAGCCAGAATATTGAGGAGGAAGACTGAAACCATATTTTGTTAATCTAAATGAAAAGAGTTCAGGACGTTTTAGATTTTGATAACTGTGGTGCACACTCTTAACACGTGTCAGTAATTCCAGGTTTGACTGCACAGACTTGCCCTCTACCTCCCTCAGTAGATGTTTTAACGTGGAAACATAATCTGAAAATTTTACAAGGTTTTCATTTAGTTTTTCTAAAATATTCATCTCTTCATCTTGTATCTGCCTAAGAATAGTCTCTTGCTCGTTCTGTAAAAACAATCTAATTTGCTCAAACTCAGAATTTATTTCTTCCCTCTTATATTCTACCTTCTTTTTCAGCTCCACTGATTTGCTGCCTTGCAGAATTATCACTTTTTCAACTCGTTCTATATTATTCTTCAAGGGCTCAATGCTACCTTCTAGAATTTCTCTGTGATAAGAGGCAGCTTTCTTAACAGGGCAAATGTAGTGCTTCTGGTGTTTAGTGGAGAAACTGCACTGTGTACATAAGATCTCTAGATCCTTCAAACAGAAGAGGGTCAGGAACTGATTGTGTTTTTCACACATGGCATTCTCTTTCTGTCTCTTTCTCTTGCTCCTCCTAATATGGAGTTGTTTAGCAATTTCAGTCAAATTACGGAGCTGGGGGTTCCTCCTGAAGCTCTTGTATGGAAAGCAAAAACGGCAGACAGGACAGGGAAAGGTATCATCTAGATCCTTCCAGGATACATTGAGGCAGGAGCGACAGAAGTTGTGCCCACAGTTGATGGTCACTGGGTCTTTCAAGTACTCCAGACAGATGGGACAGCTAGACTCCTCTTGGAGGTTCACCAGAGCCGTCACGAGTTCCATTGAGCTGCGAACAAAGGTAGTGCGTAAGGTAAGCTCCCTCTGGTCAGTGTGAAGGAACTGTGAAAAGGAAGTTGGGCTGAACTTGTCCGGCCTCCGTAGAACGCAAACCCACTGAGAAGTGGATACCCCTCCCAGACCTTGTAGATTGATCAGGTTTAGGTTTCACTGGCCTGGCATGCTGATGGCACCCACTGGAGTCTTGTTTAGTCCCCTGCTCGTTCACTTGGAGGATAATAATTCAAAGCTTACAGCTCTATTATAGATCAGCCCATCTGAATCTACCTGTAATGATTTTCTTCTTCAATAAACTAGCCACAGGTTATAATACGCAGTCATTCCTGTGGATGAGAAAAGATTTTTAATTTCAAAATCTCCTGGATTTGGAATCACAATATAATAATTTGTTCAGGCAAGAATCATCACTAACTATAAAAACTACCGGGTAGGCCGGGCGCGGTGGCTCAAGCCTGTAATCCCAGCACTTTGGGAGGCCGAGGTGGGCGGATCACAAGGTCAGGAGATCGAGACCACAGTGAAACCCCGTCTCTACTAAAAATACAAAAAATTAGCCGGGCGCGGTGGCGGGCGCCTGTAGTCCCAGCTACTCGGGAGGCTAAGGCAGGAGAATGGCGTGAACCCGGGAGGTGGAGCTTGCAGTGAGCCGAGATCGCGCCACTGCACTCCAGCCTGGGCTGGGCGACAGAGCGAGACTCCGTCTCAAAAAAACAAAAAAACAAAAAAAAAAAACCTACCGGGTAAAATGTTATGGGGGAATGATATTCACATTCTCAAAATTTTACTCTAGGATTATATTTTAATTACAAAGAGAAAAATAAGTACCTTTATAATGTAGAGAATACCACCTTATCCAATGATGGGGCAAACTGATGACCTGCAACGGGGAGCAAAGCATTACCATCTGTGGAGAACTTATGCAGAATATATATATAAAATACATAAGATTCTATTATATGTAACTGTGTATTACATATAAAATTCTATTGTATATAACATACAATTGTTATTATTTTTTGAGATGGAGTTTCGCTGTCACCCAGGCTGGAGTGTAATGGCACAATCTTGGCTCATTGCAACCTCTGCCTGCTAGGTTCAAGTGATTCTCCTGCCTCAGGCTCCCAAGTAGCTGGGATTAAGGGGCCCACCACCACGCCTGGCTAATTTTTGTAGTTTTGTTAGAGACGGGGTTTCACGCTGGCCTCGAACTCCTGACCTCATGTGATCTGCCTGCCTCAGCCTCCCAAAGTGCTGGAATTACAGGTGTGAGCCACTGCACCTGACCTATAAAATTATATATAAAAATGTATGTATGTATATATAATAGTGAAGAAATCCAAATCATACAAGATTCAACATGAAAATGGTTCTTAACAGCACAAATGACAACAGTGCTGGGAAAAAAAGCAGGTTTTTTTTTTTTTTTTTTTTTTTTTTTTTTTGAGACAGGATCTTGCTGTGTCTCCCAAGCCAGAGTGCAGTGGTATGACCATGGTTCTCTGCAGCCTCAGCCTGCAGAGGAACCGTGACCACAGGCTTGTGCCACCAGGCCCAGCTAATTTTTAAAATATTTTGTAGAGATGGGGGTCTCTCTATGTTGGCCAGGGTGGTTTTGAACAATCCTCCCACCTTGGCCTCCCAAAGTGCTGGGAGTATAGGTGTCAGCCCCTATGCCCAGCCTGTTTCCTTACATATGAGGAAAAACAAACGAACAAAAAAAAGCAATTCATTCTCTTAGCTTAGATTCTAGACTGAGAAAAAAAAAAAGTTGTAATAAAGTGGACAGTATAGGACAAAGTGAAAAAATGGAGGATGTACTCTTTATTAGATATTAGTAATACATCAAAGTTAAGCTTCCTGAATTTCCTAACTGCACCATAGTTACAAAAGAAAATGTCCTCATTCTTAGGAAATACATGCTTAAATATTTACTGGTGAAGGGATCATGAACCTTATAAACACCTCTCTTTTCCTTCAGGTCACCTCACAACTCCTATCTGCTGCTCATCAATCTGACTGCCTCCCACCCCACCCTCTAGTCTCTCATTATCCCATCTCTTTACTTTCATAGAACTCAATCATACTTGAGATTGTTTTCTTCAGGTATTTGTTTCTCTTTTGGCCTTAGCTGGTGAATGAGATAGACTGGAAGTGGGTACTTAGTCTACCTTATTCATAGGGAGGTAGTAGAAAATCAGTAAAGACCTTCAAGAAAGTGAATCATGAACAAGTGGATACATGAATGAAAAAAATCCAAAAATAATACAAAAAGAGAATAATGTCAATGTTATAAAACATAAAATTTAGGTTGGGAGACTGTTCAAAATTAAAAGAGAGCCCCACTGCACTCAGCCCATTTCAGAATTATTCTAGTATGAATAGAATCATTCATCTTAGATTTAATGAAACAGGAGCTGGGTGCATTAGCTCACACCTGTAATCCCAGCATTTTGGGAGGCCAAGGCAGGCGGATCACTGGAGGTCAGGAGTTCAAGATCAGTCTGGCCAACATGGTGAAACCCCATTTCTACTAAAAATACAAAAATTAATTGGGCGTGGTGGTGCTTGTCTGTAGTCCCAGCTACTTGGGAGGCTGAGGTGGGAGAATCACTTGAATCTAGGAGGTGCGGTTGCAGTGAGCCGAGATCACAGCACTGCACTCCAGCCTGGGTGACAGAGCATGTCTCAAAAAAAAAAAAGAATGAAAAGAATTAATGAAACAGGTTATATGTAGTTGTCACAAATTTTAAGATCTACTCCTCACCCATTTCATTCCAACACACTTCAGCAGAACACACAGCTACATCAGGCTTAGGGTCCTGAAGGAACTGTGAAAAGGAAGTTGGGCTGAACTTGTCCTGCCTTCCTATATACACCTGCAAGTAATCCCAGTCTATAGGTAAATTCACTCCTTTTCCCTTTGACTCCGAATTACTTACCAGATCTTCTGGCCACTGCCATCCATGTGAGTGCTCTTAAATAGCTGTGCTAGGTCAGTGTGCGGATGGTAGAAACGGACTGGTGAAAGTGCATTCTCTAACATACACTGACTCACAGCTGTATCTTCCTCTGATCTAGTAGGGTTCAGAATCTAACCATTGTATGTAAATGTCTCATCTTTGCAAACACTATTTCCTTTACCTAGAGGATCCTTTCCTCACCTTTTCCTCAAGACTGATCTCTCATATTTGGAAACAGCTCGAAAGTCTCCTTCTCTGGTAAGGTTTACTATGTGTCAGGAACAGTGCTTCCCACAAAATAACTGATCTCCTTAATTAAACCCTCACAACAAAGCAGGAGATCTGTCATAGGCCCTGAGTGTACTTCTCTGGTCTCCTGAATAGGCCAAAAATTTCACTATGACCACTCTATCTAGGATATTTCTTATGGTTGTGTTTGCAGGAAGTATCCTTGAAAGAAGACATAAAGTGTCAATTTGGGACAAAGAACAGGTTTGCTAAAAAAATAGGTTCCCAAGCTCGGGGTTCACTGGCTATGATGGAAACCTACATTGTGTATGACATCTACCATGGTCCCTCTGCACCACCTCTGTGGGACTTGGGAGGCATGGGGAACCAACACCAGCATGATGCACATGCTGCCAGATGTGCCAGGAGTAATGAAGTTCTTTGTCTCCAATCCAAGAGTGTTATATCTCCTGAAAGTATCCATTAAATATTAACAGGATAACTTAATAGCTTGTGAGTAAGGTAAAACCCCAAACCCTGAGAGTTTGGTTATTATCTTCAATTACAAACATGGAATGTAAATGTAATGATTTGGCCAGGCGTGGTGGCTCATGCCTGTAATCCCATCACTTTGGGATGCCAAGGCAGGTGGATCACCTGAGGTCATGAGTTCGAGACCAGCCTGGCCAACATGGTGAAACCCCATCTCTACTAAAAAATATAAAAACTAGCTGGGCATGGTGGCACGTGCCTGTAGTCCCAGCTACTCAGGAGACTGAGGAGAATTGCTTGAACCCAGGAGGCAGAGGTTGCAGTGAGCCAAGATACTGCCACTGCACTCCAGCCCTGGGAACAGAGCGAGACTTAGCAAAACAAACAAAAAAAGTATAATGATTTGATAGGCTTATCCAAAGTCCTAATACTAACTGATGTGACTACTGGTGTGATACTAAATCACTAAGCACACTGTTTTTTTTTTGTTTTGTTTTGTTTTGTTTTTTTGTGAGACAGAGTTTTGCTCTCGTTGCCCAGGCTGGAGTGCAATGGCGCAGTCTCGGCTCACTGCAACCTCTGCCTCCTGGGTTCAAGCAATTCTCCTGCCTCAGCCTCAAGTAGCTGGGACTACAGGCACACACCACCATGCCCAGCTAATTTTTGTATTTTTAGTAGAGATGGGTCTCACCATATTGGCCAGGCTGATCTCGAACTCCTGACCTCAGGTGATCCACCCACTTCAGCCTCCCAAAGTGCTGGGAACTGGGATTACAGGCGTGAGCCACCGTGCCCGGTCTCTCTCTCTCTCTCTTTTTTTTTTGAGACAGAGTTTCACTGTTGTCTCCCAGGCTGGAGTGCAATAGCATGATCTCAGCTCACTGCAACCTCTGCCTCCCAGGTTCAAGCAATTCCCCTGCCTTAGCCTCCCCAGTACCTGGGATTACAGGTGCCTGCCACCATGCCCGGCTAATTTTTGTATTTTTAGTAGAGATGGGGTTTCGCCATGTTGGCCAGGCTGGTCTTGAACTCCTGACCTCAAGTGATCTGCCTGCCTCAGTCTCTCAAAGTGAGACAGATGAGAAAGTCTCTACAGATGTGAGCCACCACGCCCGGCCTAAGCACATCATCTTTTTTTCATATTCACATTAGTGCATAGCCTTGAAAACCTTTATTAAAGTGCTTCATATAGCATTCTGTTTAACCCTCCCAGATGGATATCCACAAATTGTTACTATATCAAATAGTCTAACGATGGGAAAATTAAGATTTTTAAACTTTAAAAAAAAAAAAAAAAAAAACTCATAAGATGATGTAAACAGATATCACACAAATTATTAGGTAGCAGTCTCTAATGGGATGGGTGTTTCACTCCAACATTCACTTACCTAGATCTGTATGTCATTGATCAACTAACTTAATTTCTCTGAGTCTGTTTCTATTTCAGAAAGCTGAAAGCATTAAATGAAAAAACCGTGTAAGGATAGTACAGTGCCTGACCCAGAACAGATGCTCACCGAGTGGCACTGTGCAGAAGAACGAGCATGGCAGGCCTAAGGCTGCCACCCTTAGAAGGCTGCTTGCAAGGCTGCTACTTGGCTCACGCCTGACAACTTTGATTTCCAGAATTTATAAGGAACTTATGAGGAAATGGGTCCTGCCATTCCCTTGTAAGAATGGCTCACTATTAGCCGGGCGCGTGGCTCACGCCGTAATCCCAGCACTTTGGGAGGCCAAGACGGGCAGATCACCTGAGGTCAGGAGTTCAAGACCAGCCTGAACAACGTGATGAAAACCCGTCTCTACTAAAAATACAAAAACTAGCCGGGTGTGGTTGTGCATGCCTGTACTCCCAGCTACTAGGGAGGCTGAGGCAGGAGAATCACTTGAACCCAGGAGGTGGAAGTTGCAGTGAGCCGAGATCGCACCATTGCACTCCGGTCTGGGCAACAGGAGCAAAACTCTGTCTAAAAAAAAAAAAAGAAGAAAAAGAAAAAAGAATGGCTTACTACACCTACACCTACAGTGTTTATACAAACAATGAGGTTTATGATGAATAGCTGCTTTCCTTCTGAGAAACTAGAATTTTGATATAAGCTAGGTGGAGAAGCCTGCATGATCTCTTCTCAGTGAAAATTCTGGAAAGACAAATCTTTAATGAGTATCCTTGGTAGACAACAGTTCACTCATTTATCACTTTGTCTCCAGAGAAATTAAGCAGGTCCTGTGTGACATCACGTAGAGACGACTCTTGGAAGCTTATGCTCTGTTTCTTCCAGACTTCATCCCACACACCCTTTTCCTTTGCTGGTTTTGCTTTGTATCCTTTCACTATAATAAACCATAATTGTTGGCCAGGCATGGTGGTTCCCATCTGTAATCCCAGCACTTTGGGAGGCTGAGGCAAGAGGATCAATTGAGGCCAGACATTCAAGACCAGTCTGGGCAACAGAGCAAGACCTCATCTCTACAAAATTTTATAAAAATCAGCCAGGCATGATGGCATGTGCCTATAGTCCCAGCACTCGGAAGGCTGGGGTGAGAGGCTGTCTTGAGCCCAGGAATTCAAGGCTTCAGTGAGTCATGACTATGCAGTTGTACTCCAATCTGGATGACAGAGCGAGATGTCATCTCAAAATAATTAGGTTATAACCTCAAATAATACTATGCTGAGTCCTGAGGTCATTTTAGCAAATCACCAAACCCGGGGTTGGTCTTGGGGATACTAACACAAGTATTATTACAAAATCTTATAAAATTTCCAAGTGAAAAGAACATTTAGAAATCTAGTCAAACTGCCTCCATTTATGTCATTAACTGTTGTAGTATATATATTATAGTGTTATTTAGGTCTAAAACTACTGTATCTCTCATTTTTCCTAATTAGAAAAGGTGTTAACTGCTTATAGCAGTAGTTGGGCCAAAAGTATCATGTACATTCCAATTTTGAAGGGACGGTAAGGTATTATTACATCTTAAAAATTATAATATTTTTCAATAATAAGAAATTAAAATAAAATAATGTGTCCTTTAACTCTTCCCATCTTCCAGTTTAACATTTTCATAAATAACAATGTCATTGCATAGGCTCCTAATCCTTATTTCAACACACCATGTTTAATGGATGCTTTGGGGTTGGGTAAATTTGAAGAGGCAGTTTTAAGCATTCTGAACAAAGCTGTACAGCCAATACGTTGCAAAATATGACTGGAATTTTTTAAATTATAAGAAAGAACCACATTGCTATAAAAAAGGATATTTCATGGACGGGTGCAGTGGCTCATGCCTGTAATCCTAGAACTTTGGGAGGCCGAGGGGGGGGTGGATCATGAGGTCAGGAGTTCAAGACCAGCCTGACCAACATGGTGAAACCCTGTCTCTACTAAGAATACAAAAATTAGCCAGGTGTAGTGGCATGCACCTGTAATCCCAGCTCCTCGGGAAGCTGAGGCAGGAGAATTGCTTGAACCCAGGAGGTGGTAGTTGCAGTGAGCCAAGATCACGCCACTGCACTCTGTCTTGGGCGACAGAGTGAGAATCTTTTTTTTTTTTTAAAAAAAGTGTATTTCATTTAAAATAAAAAAGTGCAGGGAACATTCCTGCATAGATTGCGGGAACTCAATGGTCTGTCCTTCCCCACACACTCCAGCTTCCCCCAACCCATCTTCCAGACTCAGGCAATGAAGTTTATAAAGAACAGCATTGTAAGCCACCCTTCCCAGTCCGAGCTATAAACATTAGCCTACTATAGTAACTATCTTCTGATACCTGAAGACAGGGCCCCTGTCTCCCAGCATCTATGGGAGAGTTGGGGCTTGACTTCCTTAAGTGCCAGTGAGCAAACCCGGGTGTATTTCACGTGACCCAACCACCCCTTTCCCACTTTTTGTAATTTTTCACTTCCCTGACTCTACTGAGCCCCTACTCACTACCTTCATTCCCCAGTTCCCCTTTGAAACACTTGGTTACCTCTGTACAAATCACAGTTGAGTTCTGTTCATGCTGAATTCTTCTCCCTATTGCAATAGTACATTACTGATTAAAATCTGTCCTTATGACTACCCAGTGTCTGGCTTTATTTTTGACATGCTCTGTCTCCTCAGTCAATTCCATAACTCTATAGCTTCCAAACACAAATCCAACCCTATAACCTTCCGATTTCCAATGGAATGGCTTTTCTTACTCTTAAGTATTACAAGACTCACCAACATCTGGACTTTACTCTTTTCCTGGCTCCACATATCCGATCATACAGCAGACTGTAGTTGATATTTTTATATTTATTTTTGTCAACCTTTGGTTAAGGACACTGGAGAGTTCAGTTCGAGGTCTGAATTCTTCCTTGTTTTCCTCAAAACTGAATTACCAACTCAGATTCTTATGCTGGTGTTCGGTGTGTGTTCAATAATTATTAGGCTAATAAATCAAACCTGTGGTAGATTCCCTACTCTCAAAATTCAACCTTTACTGCTTGAGATCTTGTCACATTAAAAAAGAAAAAATTCAACCTCTACTACCTAATTCATTTTATTTTTTGAGACAGGATCTCACTCAGTTGCCAAGGCTGGAGTGCAGTGGCGCGATCTCCATTCACTGCAACCTCTGCCTCTGGGCTCAAGCGATCCTTGCACCTCAGCCTCCCGAGTAGCTGGGACCACAGGCACGCCCCACCATGCCCAGATTTTTTTTTTTTTTTTTGTAGAGACGGGGGTCTCACTATGTTGCCCAGGCACCAGCGTGAGCTAGAACTCCTGGATTCAAGTGATCCTACCGCATCGGCCTCCTCATGTTGGGGGTTACAGGTGTGAACCACCGCGCCTGGCTCCTACTCTGATTCTTGTGCTAGTCCACAGTGCGGGATCAATGAATCAAATTGAATCAAAATGAATCAAATGAATCAAACCTGTGGGAGATTCCCAGCTCTCCAGATTCAACCTCTATTACTTTAGATGATACGAAACGTTAAGTGAGCCTAAACTTTCTCATCCGTAGCAGTTTCCTAACAGCCAGATCCTTGTGAGGACGGAAGGAGACGAAATCCGCCAGAGAAGTGCTGGCGCTGTAGGGTGGTAGATCCTTCCTTAACGCCCCCACTATAATTTTTGGAGATCACGTGGCCACTTCCCAAACTGGTGTTCAGATCAGAATCTTCATCAAAGTTCAATCATCGGGGTCCCACCACCTCCGCGGCTAAAACAGAAAACGGTGGCTCACGCCTGTAATCCCAGCACTTTGGAAGGCCGAAGCGGGTGGATCACCTGAAGTCGGAAGTTCGACACCAGCCTGGCCAACATGGAGAGACCCTGTCTGTACTAAAAATACAAAAATTAGCCGGGTGTGGTAGAGAGCGCCTGTAATCCTAGCTACTCAGGAGGCTGAGACAGGAGAATCGCTTGAATCCGGAAGGTGGAGGTTGCAGTGAGCCGCGATCGCGCCACTGCACTCCAGCCTGGGCGACTGAGCAAGACTCCGTCTCAAAAACAACAAAAAAAGGATCCACAGCCTGAGCTCAGTCGTGGACAGGTCGCGACCCCCAGGTGTGGGCACAGCTGATACTCAGGAAGCCCCTGCCCAGTTAAGGAGGCCTCCCGCCAGGCCCTACTGCGCCTTTCCTGCGGCCCTCCCAGCTTACCTGGAGCAGCTGGACCGGCGGTTCAGGCCTGATGCCGTGCAGGACCCCTGGAAGCCCGCGGGACGCAGAGCCGAACCCCCACACAACCTTGGGCGACTTGGTTTTCGAGTTTCGGGCGCACAATTGACCGGCGTGGTGGTTGGCTGCTCCACCGGAAGTGGGCGGGAAGGGCCTGAGCATGCTCAATGCCCCAGGGTGCAGGGAGAGTGGGAAAAGTGTGAGGAGAGCCTGGGGCGGCTCCCTCCGTCGTGGGGGCCCTGTCAGCGGGTCATTTAAATCACAATGGCCATCTTTTCAGATTTTTCATTCCTATGAGCAACTTTTTTTTTTTTTGAGACAGGGTCTGGTGCGGTCTTGGCTCACTATAGTCTCGACCATCCAGGCTCAAGCGATCCTCCTACCTTACAGGCGCGCGCCACCACGCCCGGCTGATTTTTGTATTTTTTTGGTGGAGGCTGGGTTTCGCCATGTTGCCCCGGCTGGTCTCGGACTCATGGGCTCAAGCGATCCGCCTGCCTCGCTGTGAGCCACCACGCCCGGCCAGGGTGGTTAGTTTTAACGTGCAAGGGGAATAATCAGCTCTTTGGATCAGTTTACGTCGCCGGTTGAGAGGCTGCGTAGTTACCACCCTGGAAATTAGGTCCCACCCTACCAACTCAGACTCACCAAGGTGTCTCCTGAGGAATTGATGTTTAAAGTAGATTTTAAGGGACGATTATGAGTTTGTTGGACGAACTTGAGGGTAAAATCTTCAAGGCTGAAGGATGAGTAATTGTGAGGAGCCTCTTAAGTCTTATAACTTGGTAAATAAGACACTGAAAGAGGCTAATATTTGCAGAAGAAATCATAGAATTGGCATAGCATTTTTTTTTTTTTTTCGAGACGGAGTCTCGCTCTGTCACCCAGGCTGCAGTGCAGTGGCGCGATCTCAGCTCACTACAAGCTCCGCCTCCCGGGTTTACGCCATTCTCCTGCCTCAGCCTCCCGAGTAGCTGGCACTACAGGCGCCCACCACCGCGCCTGGCCAATTTTTTCTATTTTTTAGTAGAGACGGGGTTTCACCGTGTTAGCCAGGATGGTCTCCATCTTCTGACGTCGTGATCCGCCTGCCTCGGCCTCCCAAAGTGCTGGGATTACAGGCGTGAGCCACCGCGCCCGGCCGGCGCACTTTTCTGTTTAAAACTTAGGGCTACTTGGCCAGGCTTGGTGGTTCACGCCTGTAATCCAAACACTTTGGGAGGCCAAGACTCTTGGATCACCAGAGGTCGGGAGTTCGAGACAAGCCTGGCCAACGTGGCGAAACCCCATCTCTACTAAAAATACAAAAAATTAGCCGAGCATGGTGGTGCATCCCTGTAATCCCAGCTACTCGAGAGGCTGAGGCAGGAGAATCACTTGGACTGGGGAGGCGGAGGTTGCAGTGAGCCGAGATTGGGCCACTGTACTCCAACCTGGGCAACAGAGTGGGACTCAATCTCAAAAAAATAAAACAATAAAATAAAATAAATAAGTAAATAAAAAAACTTAGGGCTACCTTCCCAGAAAAATACCCTCCTGTGATGAAGTCTGAGATTTGATGGAAGAGTGGGAAGTAGGAACAGGGGACAAGTGAAATCTTCAAGTCTTCACATCTTAGTGCAGAAGATGCAATCAGAGAGGATGATAAAGGCTGTAGTCAGGAGGACACTGACTGCATCTGGAGTCTGACCAATGGTACGAAGGAAAGGAAACTCCAAAAGCTTAAGGCTGAATGGGGCCAGACTCCACCATAACATTAAACCAAAGGCTGGGCAGGTGGTTCAAGCCTGTAATCCCAGCACTTTGGAAGATCGAATGGAGAGGATCGCTTGAGGCCCTGAGTTCAAGACCAGCCCGAGTGACAGAGCGAGACTGACTCAAAACAGAAAAAGAAAAGATGGATTGTGTTGTGCTCCTGCCCTGGATGGAGGACCAATCTGTTCTGCAAGGACATAAGGAGCTCACAATCCTCAGTGAACCCCTGACTGGTGCACACAAGGCATCTCTGAGCCTCTGCTGGGAACAGAATATCTCAGTGAGAATCACCTTAGGGGTACAGGTGAGGGAGACTCAGTGAAAGGCATGGAGCCTTCAGCAGGACCTAAGCTGGGGGTAGCCACATGGGAAAGAACCTTGCTGGCTCATGTATTTTAATTTTTAGCAATACTTATGTACTTTAGAAACATATTTTAATATATATTTAAAATTTCATATAATTATAAACATTTTTATTGTATTATAATAGCATATGTATATATTATATATAAATATTTCACATGATATGTATATATTACCTATAAATATTTAATGAAAATTAAAATTTTTCTTATGGTATTATGTTAACTATATATATATATACACATAAACATGTACGGTTCACTTTTTACTCTTAAATCTTCAATGAGGAAGTTCTTTTTTTAATCATATGGGAATTGAAGAATTATACTACTTTGAAAAAGCTTTATGCCAATTTACTTGTGGTTCCTTTAATTTTGTCAAAGGTGCTCTCTATAAACAGAATATCTATCATTACAGTCAGCAGAAACAAGAGAAACAAAAAAAGTCTTTGCAATATCTTGAATCTGTGCCACACCAAACTCCTATTATTAAAAAAATCGGCCGGGCGCGGTGGCTCAAGCCTGTAATCCCAGCACTTTGGGAGGCTGAAAAAAATTCTAGTCCATAGCTGGGCATGGTGGCTCAAGTCTGCTATCCCAGCACTTTGTAAGGTCAGGGAAGAAGAATCACTTTAGGCCAGGAGTTTGAGACTAGCCTGGGCACCATAGCCAGATCCTCCCCTCTACAAAAATAAGAAAAAATATACAAGTGTGGTGGTGCATGCTACTCTGGAGGCTGAGGCAGGAGGATTGCTTGAGCCTAGGAGTGCCAAGGTGCAGTGAGCTATGATGGCACCACTGCTCTTCAGTTTGAGTGACAAAGTGAGACCCTGTCTCAAAATGAAAAAAAAAAATCCACAAACTACTCCAAGTTTCTTTGCCTAGATTCCCATTATGTTGAATATCATAGTTGAGATTTGATTTTACAACTAATTTTGCAATTCTTCACCTAACGTATCCAAATCCCCCATGGCACTATCAGCTTCTTGGTGGAAATATGTCTCAAACTTATTTGGGGAATAAATAAAACCTGTGGAAGATTTGAAGCACTCAGCTTCAACCATGGCCCTTCTGGATGATTCTTAACATGCCTACACCTAAACTGCCTCATCTACACATTTGAAATAATAATCCATACCTTAAAGATTTTTGTGAACATTAAAGGATGCTTCCATGGATTGGAGGATGCAGGCGATGTAGGGTGGTGGGTTCTCAAATGACAACTACCACTTCACTCCCTTAACTCCCCGCCCCCACTCCCAAACACACATAGTAATTCTTTGAAGATAACATACCATTTCATAAACCCTAATTCAGATTATAATCTTGAAAGCTTACTTTTTGCAGGCCCACCACACCTATTCTAACTGTACAATTCTGGGACCAGGAGTCTGAATGTTTCACAAGACCTTTGCAAAGTTCTCAGCTTTTTGCCTGGGGCTCAGCCTGCTCCGTGGTTGGCGGTTCCAGTGGAAATGGAAAAAGGGGGGGAAGGGCCTGTGCATGTTCAGTGTCCTGGGTGCAGGGAGAGTGTGAAGATTTTGAGGAGTGCTGGGGCAGTCTCTTCCGTAATCAGGCTCGTGTTGGCTCCAACTAACATTTAATTTCCCTGGTTATCTTTTCAGATTCATACAATTAAAAATTTTTTTTTTTTTTTTTTTTTGAGACAGAGTCTCCCTCTGCCGCCCAGGCTGGAGTGCAGTGGCCGGATCTCAGCTCACTGCAAGCTCCGCCTCCCGGGTTCACGCCATTCTCCTGCCTCAGCCTCCCCAGTAGCTGGGACTACAGGCGCCCGCCACCTCGCCCGGCTAGTTTTTTGTATTTTTTAGTAGAGACGGGGTTTCACCGTGTCAGCCAGGATGGTCTCGATCTCCTGACCTCGTGATCCGCCCGCCTCGGCCTCCCAAAGTGCTGGGATTACAAGCTTGAGCCACCGCGCCCGGCTAAAAAAAAATTTTATGAGCAACTTGAGGGTCAAAATAAGGCTGCAAGTTGGTTTTAAAAGCTTCACGAGCACAGCGTCCCCTCCCAGATGGTGAGGGAGGGGAGAGCTTCACAAGGTCAGCTGCTTCCCATAGCCCGGGGTTGTAGGGTGGAGTCGTGGAGAACTGGCTACCTTTGAAAGAGAAACAAATACCTTTTTGGATTAGTTTTTATCTCAGTGGGTGAGTGGGTGGGTCTCTCCCACCCTGAGGGATTGTGTCCCACCCTGAGGGATTGTGTCCCACCCTACCAATTTAAGTTCAGCAAGGTCTTTCCTGGGGAAGTGACATTTCAGGTGGAATGTGAGGGATGAAGATGCCTTAGCTGGACAAATTTGATGGCAAAACTCTTCAAGGCTGAAAAAAGAGCCAATGTGGAGCTTCTTAACTCTAAAGAATTTAGTACAGGATGGGCATGGTGGCTCACGCCTGTAATTTTAGCACTTTGTGAGGCTGAAGCAAGTAGAATTGCTTGAGTCTAGGAGTTTGAGACCAGCCTATTCAACTTAGAGAAACCCTGTCTGTAAAAAAAAATTAAAAAATAGTTGGGCTGGGTGTGGTGGATCATGCCAGTAATTTCAGCACTTTGTAAGGTTGAGGTGAGAAGATCTCTTGAGCCACCATGCCTGGCCACTTTTGTTTTCCAAGTTCCTGTTCCTGTAACAACCCAATGAGTTCACCTTGGTAGCTGCCTAGATAGAGCCAGTTTATCAAGACAGAGGAATTGCAATAGAGAAAGAATAATTCACACAGAGCTGGCTGTGCAGGAGACCAGAGTTTTATTATTTCTTAAATAGGTCTCCCAGAGCACTCAGGGATCAGAGTTTTAAAGGGCAGACTTTTAAAGGGCAACTCTCAGGGATCAGAGTTTTAAAGATTAGGGAAAGCCAGTGAGCCAGGAGTGCTGATTGATCAGGTCAGATATGAAATCATAGGGAGTTAAAGCTGTCTTCTTGCACTGAGTCAGTTTCTGGGTGGGGGACACAAGATCAGATGAGTCAGTCTGTTGATCTGAGTGATGCCAGCTGATCCATCAAGTGCAGCATCTGCAAAATAATCGCAAGCACTGATCTTAGAAACAATTAGGCCGGGCGCGGTGGCTCAAGCCTGTAATCCCAGCACTTTGGGAGGCCGAGACGGGCGGATCACGAGGTCAGGAGATCGAGACCATCCTGGCTAACACCGTGAAACCCCGTCTCTACTAAAAATACAAAAAACTAGCCGGGCGAGGTGGCGGGCCCCTGTAGTCCCAACTACTCCGGAGGCTGAGGCAGGAGAATGGCGTAAACCCGGGAGGCGGAGCTTTCAGTGAGCTGAGATCCGGCCACTGCACTCCAGCCCGGGCTACAGAGCAAGACTCCGTCTCAAAAAAAAAAAAAAAAAAAAAAAAAGAAAAGAAACAATTAAGGGAGGGTCAGAATCTTGTAGCCTGCAGCTGCCTGAGTCCTAAACCATAATTTCTAATCTTGTGATTAGAAAACTAATAATTTATTAGTTTTACACAGGCAGTCTAGTCCAAAGGCAAGAAGGAGGTTTGTTTTGGAAAAGGGCTGCTATTGCGTTTGTTTTAATCTACAAATGATAAAGTTCCTCCCAAAGTTAGTTCAGTTTATGCCCAGAAATAAATAAGGACAGCTTGAAGGTTAGAAGCAAGATGGAGTTGTTTAGGTCAGATATTTTTCACTGTCTAAGTTGCCATTTTGCAATTTTGGTTTCATTTGCTCATTTCAGATGAGCAAAATAACATTCAATCCCACAGAGTTATTGGGAAACCACTTTGGGGGATTGGTAGTCCTTTCTTCCTCATTTGCTCTTTCTTCTCCTTCTTTTCTAATAAGTGGAATGATTACTTTTAATTAAACAAAAGTCTATATAATTTAAAGAAGAAGCCGAGACACTCTAAGAACAGAACTCCAAAAGTTCCAGTATAGAGAACAGCAATTATTCCCAATCCCATCAGTGAAGAGTCGTAACAAAAAAAACCTTGGTTTTCTGTTACATTTGAAGTTTATCTTAGATGTAGCTTCAGAAAAAAGGAAGGAAAAAGAGAAAAGAAACAGTTCTTAAAAATTACAAGTTTAGACCTTTTTTACTTTTCAGAGCTAATATTGTTTTAAAAGCCTTGACCAAATGCTGAAAAATTACAAATATTTTTGGTTTACTTGTAATATTTTAACTTTTCCTAACATTTATTTTTTATTTTTTTTTGAGACGGAGTCTTACGCTGTTGCCCAGGCTGGAGTGCAGTGGCGCGATCTCGGCTCACTGCAAGCTCCGCCTCCCGGGTTCCCGCCATTCTCCTGCCTCAGCCTCCTGAGTAGCTGGGACTACAGGCGCCCGCCACCGCGCCCGGCTAATTTTTTGTATTTTTAGTAGAGACGGGGTTTCACTGTGGTCTCGATCTCCTGACCTTGTGATCCGCCCGCCTCGGCCTCCCAAAGTGCTGGGATTACAGGCTTGAGCCACCGCGCCCGGCCAACTTTTCCTAACATTTATGATTCAGTTTGTACAAGTCACATTTAGTTAAGCATAACTATTTGAGTTATAAACACACGAGTTGTTTCCCCTAAGCTTGTGTCAGTAAACAAAAATAAAAACAAATGAAAAGATCACAAAAGCTTTGTTTATATATCATTGGAAAAGTATAGTACAGAAATAGATATACCCAAATAACCTCCCAGGCAATGTGACATCAAATACATTAAAAATAATGGGAACTGAAAAATGACTACACACCAGAATATTAATTTACTCTCTTTTATTTTATGCCCAAAGGCCCACAGTTAGAAAATGGTGGAGCTGGATTTGAACATGGGCAATGGACTCAAATCCCGCACTTCTAACACTGAGTTATGTTACTTCTGTTAAAAGAAAAACTTCAGCCAAATTAAATTTAAAGGAGTATAAATGAGCAATGAATGATTCTTGAATTGGTCAGCAGCCCCCAGAATCACAGCAGATTCAATGAGACTCCAGCACAGCCACATGGTAGAAGAAGATTTGTAGACAAAAAAACGAAGTGATGTACAGAAATCGGAAGTACAGAAACAACTGGCTTGGTTACCACTTGGCATTTTCCTTATTTGGAACACAGTTTGAATGCTCAGCAGTGTATAAGTGGTTGAAGTGTGGCTGCTGGGATTCGCCAAGACTCAGCTATTGTTACAGGTGCATACTCCTAAGTTGCGTTTTCAATCCTCTCTACTTATTAAGCTATGTTGCAGATCATCCACAAGGACTCAAATGTGGATGTATGAAGTCTTTCTCAGGCCATATTAAGTTCACTTTAACACTTCTCTTATAGAAACTAAGAAAATCGTAAACCACTCTACAAGTAAGAAGTACATTACTAACTAGTGGTCATTGAAAATGACTATTGATTAGTCAATACTAAAACAAAAAAGTAGATAGGAGGGGAAATCCTGCCAGAGAGAGTCCCTGAACCCAGTCTGTGAGGCTGGGAAAAGTCCCTGTGGTGAGGTGAGAAGGTTGAGGCAAGTGGGTGGAAAGGACCCTGGAGGAGGCCTGTCTGGTGCAGAGAAGCAGGGGCGGCCAGCCAGCTCACTTCCCCACCACTCGACACTTCCATTCTGTCATGACTCTTAAGTAGGGAGGACCTGGACCCCACGAAATCACAGTTCCATGGGCAGGTGAGTAGCTCAGGCTAGGCCAGTGAGTGGCCTTGCTCCCTGAAAATCCCTCCTGATCCTGCTCCTCCTACAGAAAGTATTACTGCACTGAATGACAACATGGCCTGCTGTTACCTCCTACAACCAACTAATAAAGCCAAAAATACTGTAGGGTATGTGGAGACCCCTTCTGGAGGTGAGGACTCACACGGGGTCCAGGTGACCCCTGACAGCTGAGACACACACACTACCCATTGCTTCACCGGGGCAATGTGTAAGTTCGCTCTGTGCATCAGCTCATTAATGTTCCCAAATTTCCCATGGGTTGCAGAGAGCCGAGATCGCGCCACTGCACTCCAGCCTGGGCGAAAGAGAGAGATTCCGTCTCTTATTTTTTTTTTTTTTTTTTGAGACAGAGTCTCGCTTAGTCGCCCAGGCTGGAGTGCAGTGGCGCGATCTCGGCTCACTGCAAGCTCCGCCTCCCGGGTTCACGCCATTCTCCTGCCTCAGCCTCCCGAGTAGCTGGGACTACAGGCGCCCGCCGCCTCGCCCGGCTAATTTTTTGCATTTTTAGTAGAGACGGGGTTTCACAGTGTTAGCCAGGATGGTCTCGATCTCCTGACCTTGTGATCCGCCCGCCTCGGCCTCCCAAAGTGCTGGGATTACAGGCGTGAGCCACCGCGCCCGGCCTCCGTCTCTTATTAAAAAAAAAAAAAAAAAAAAAAAAAAAATCATTTCTAAAATATTCTGTAGAGGCAGGGCCTGGCTATGTCCTAAACTTCTGTCCTCAAGCGATCCTCCCACCTCTGCCTCTGAAAGTGAGCCACTATGCCCGGTCTGTACTAAATTCTTTAAAGTTGAGAGGCTCCACATTAGCTCTTCTTCCAGTCTTGAAGACTTTGACCGTGCAATTGATCCAACGAATGCTTCCTCATCCCTCAAATTCCGCCTAAAATGTTACTTCCTCAGGTGAACCTGAGTTCATAGGATGGGGCACAATCCCATAGGGTGGGAGAGATCCACTCACTCACCCACTGAGATAAAAACTAATCCAAAAGGGTGTTTGTTTCTCTCTCTTTCAAAGGTAGCCAGTTCTCAACGACTCCACCCTGCGACCCCAGGCTATGGGAAGCAGTTGACCCTGCAAAGCTCTCCACTCCCTTACCATCTGGGAGGGGACGCTGTGCTGGTGAAGCTTTTAAAACCAACTTGCAGACTTACTTGGACCCTCAAGTTTACTCATATAAATAAAAAATGACAAGAATCCGAAAAAACAGCCAAGGGAATTAAATGCCAGTCGGGGTCAACAGGTCCCTGATCACAGAAGACGGCACACCCAGTTCTCAATTCTCACAGGATCCCTGCCCCCAGGATCACAGAGCATGCGCAGGCCCTTCCCGCCCACTTCGGAACCGCCAACCACCGCGCAGGCGGAGCCCCAGGCAGGAAGTCGCGCACTTGGCGGGGTTGGTTGTCTTGAGGCCTTCTTCGCGTGGGCCTGGTGGGTCCTGATCATCCTCTGGCCAGGGTTACTGATCCGTCTGCTCCAGGTGAGCTGGGAAGGCTACAGGAAAGGCCCAGAAGGGCCTCGCCAGGAGGCTTAACTGGGCAGGGGCTTCCTGAACAGTCGCTCTGCCTAAACCTCCGGGTCGCTGCCTGCCCACGACTGGATCTCCTTAGTCTCTGGCGTAGCTCTTGTGAAAAATTCAAGATTGTAGAGTTAGAATGGGGGTGGTGGGCCTGCGTCAGTTAAGCTTTAAATGTTATGATCTGAATTAGGGTTTATGAAGTGGCCATGTTTCTTCAAAGAGTTAACGTACGTGTTTGGAAGTGGGGTTTGGGGAGTTAAGGGAGCGAAGTGGTAGCTGCCAACTGAGAACCCACCAGCCTACATCGCCTGCACCCTCGAACTATGTAAACATCCTTTAATCCTCACAAGGGTCTTACAGGTACGAAATATCATTTCAACTTTGTAGATGAGGCGCTTTAGGTGCAGGCATGTTAACAATCAGCCAGTATGATGATGGTTGAAACTGAGAGCTTGGAATCTACCACAGGTTTTATTTATTCCTCAAACAAGCTAGAGACACATTCCCACCAAGAAGCTTGCTGCCTAATGAGGGGTTTTTACAGTTAGGTAAAGAATTGCAGAGTAGCTGTAAAATCACATTATAACTGTGATATATGACATGATGGGGAGCTAGGCAAAAAACTTGGACTAGATCTTATTGGATCTTTATGCTTTGTTTTCCTTAAAGCAGAGGTTCACAAAGTACAGTCCGCAGGCCAGCGTCATCATCTGGGAACTTAGGAAAAAACCAGCCCTACTGGATCAGAAACTGGAGATGTGGCCCAGGCAATCTCTTACCAAGACCTCCAGGTGATTATAATGCAAGGTAAGGTATGAGAACTGCTTCCATAAAGTAATAAAAGACCGGTGGAATGTTTTCAGTTGGAATATGAAAGGATTATGTTTGTATTTGAAAAGGTCAATTTAGCTACAGACTTAAGAAATTGGAGGCACCATTGTGTATCTAGGAGAGAGACAGAAGTGGTTTATACTAGGGTGGTGACCATGCCTGCAGAGCTGTTGTGTTCACTTAATGTCCTGATTTTAAATAGTAGAGAAGACTGATTTGTGTGTATGCTTGGGGAAAGGAGGGCACAATGATACCTGGAGTGCGTACCTCTTGTGTCCTTTGCACTGTGCTAGAGTCCTTTTTTGTGCATGTTTTCTTAAAAGTATATATTTTTTTCTGATTTTACCATTTTTTCCAATGATGTCTTGCAGTTTACTATGTGACATTGGGCAAGATTTTTTTTTTTTTTTTTTTTTGACGGAGTCTTGCTGTGTCACCCAGGCTGGAGTACAGTGGCGCTATCTCAGCTCACTGCAAGCTCCGCCTCCCAGGTTCGCGCCATTCTCCTGCCTCAGCCTCCTGAGTAGCTGGGACTACAGGCGCCCACCACCACGCCCGGCTGATTTTTTGTATTTTTTTTAGTAGAGACGGGGTTTCACCGTGTTAGCCACGATGGTCTCGATCTCTTGACCTTGTGATCCGCCCGCCTCAGCCTCCCAAAGTGCTGGGATTACAGGCGTGAGCAACCGGGCCCGGCTTTTTTTTTTTTTTTTAAGATGGAGTTTTGCTCTTGTCACCCAGGCTGGAGTGCAATGGCACCATCTCAGCGCACTGCAACCTCTGCCCCGGGATTGGAGCCATTCTCCTGCCTCAGCCTTTCCAGTAGCTGGGACTACAGGCGCGCCACCATGCCCGGCTAATTTTTGTATTTTTAGTAGAGACAGGGTTTCACCATGTTGTCCAGGCCTCAGGTGATCCACTCGCCTTGGCCTCCCAAAGTGCTGGGATTACAAGTGTCAGCCACCACACCCAGCTGGGCAAGATTCTTAAAACTTCTTCAGGCTCAATATTTCCAATCTCTGAGCACCCTGTGCACCCTCACTCCATTCCCATGTACTTTCTAACTTTCTTGTTCTGCTCTACAATACCCATTTGAAAGTATTAAGCAAGTATTGGGAGTTACCATAGCCACATTTAGTGTGGGCAGGTGGGAAGAGTGGTTTGTAAGAGACAGTATTCTTTTTCTTTTCCTATTCTTTCTTTTCCTTTTGTAGAGATGGGATTTTGCCATGTTGCTCAGGCTGGTCTTGAACTCTTGGGCTCAAGCGATCCACCCAGCTTGGCCTCCCAAAGTTCTGGGAATACAGTCCTGAAGCCACCACTCCCGGCCATTATTCTATGTTTTCTGTAGTGTTGTGTTAGAATTTTTCACAAGTTACTCTCATCCCTGGATATACATAGGGCATTGGTTCCAGGGCACCCTGAAGATACTGAAATCCATGAATGCTCAAGACCAGTGGATGCAGGTTCTGCATCCCAGGAATAATGTATTTTCGGTTCTATCTGAAGTTAATTGTGTTAGTGGATGCTGAACTTCCTGATATGGAGGGCTATTTAAAATAAAGAATGTATTTTAAAATTCTAAAACTTTTGTCTTACTCCAAAATTAGTATAGGAAAATTTTCTGAAGCATACCACTACTACAGTGAGCCTTTGGAAGTTACTGCCATTACTAATCATTTCAGGACTAGCAACCTTACAAGACATGACAGCTTTTAGGTGAAATGTCAATGTGCTGCTTTTTAGAGACGGAGCCTTGCTCTGTTGCCCAGGCTGGAGTGCAGTGGCACAATCTCTGCTCACTGCAACCTCTGCCTCCTGGGTTCAAGCAATTCTTCTGCCTCAGTCTTCCAAGTAGGTGGAATTATGGGCATATGCACCACTGCCAGCTAAGTTTTAGATTTTCAGGAGAGATGAGGTTTTACCACGTTGGCCAGGCTGGTTCTCGAACTTTTGACCTCAAGTGATACGCTGCCTTGGCCTCCCAAAGTGCTGGGATTACAGGTGTGAGCCACCACGCCTGGCCTGATGTGCTTTATATGTAAGTAAATATAGGTATCTCTATATATGTATTACATATAATACATAAACTATAATACGCTATAAGTTAAGTTTGTGGATTCAGCTAAATTTGTATGACCTCTTGAGAGATTTTCTGAGATAGTCCTATAATACTTTTTATTGTACATCTGTTAAATGCCAAGGACTATGACAGGTGTCTTACATAATTTATTCATTTATGCTTAAAACTTGAAATAGTATTATTTCCTACTTTCTGAAAAGTGAAACTCAGAGAAATTAACTTGACCAAGTACGTGCAGCTAACTGTTTGAATTGGATGAAAACCCAATTCTATTAGGTATTGTTAGCTCTCAGTTTGCATTTTATGTGTTTTCTCTATTGTAGTGTTGGATCAGCAAGCCCATTTTTCCCTGTTAAAATATTTGGGATGCATTATTAAATATGAGCTACTGAACATATCAAATAGGAAAAATGTAAGTTGATTTGATATATAGAGGGATGCATAGGATGCTGTGAGAGCGTAAAGAAGGAGCACTACAACTTAGTGATTGAGTATCATGCCAGTGGTTATGCCAATTAGCGTAATGTTGGATAAGCATGTTCAAATTCTCATAGACTGCACTTTTACAGCTCTAGGCTTTTACAGCTCTAATTGAGGATAATAGCTCCTAACTTATGGAGTTGTTCTGATCGTTTAATTGAACCTGTGACTATATGGAAGATGCTTAGCATAGTACCTGACATATAATTATCCTTGAGGACATGTCTCTTGGACTGAGTCTCTAGAAGGACCAAAACTTAGTCCTAGGAAAGAAGTGAGGGTAGGGTAATCTAAGCAGAAAGTGGTTTTTGCAGAAGCGGGAAAGCATGATACCTATGTTTGTTTGTTTGTTTTCGTTAAGTACTTTGGGGGGACTGTAGCCAGATGAAGATAATGAAATATGAAGGGTTCTGAATGGTGAGCTAAGGGTGAAAAACTGTCCTGACTTGTGGAGAGTTATAAACAGATTGTTATGAGGGGAAACAAAATTTAATTCGTTTGAAAAGTGAAGGCCTGAGGGACAAGTTAAATGATATCAAGAAGCAATAGGCATGTTGGGCGTGGTAGCTCATGCCTGTAATCCCAGCACTTTGGGAGGCCGAGGTGGGCCGACCACAGGGTCCAGAGTTCAAGACCAGCCTGGACAACATGGCAAAACCCTGTCTCCACTAAAGTTACAAAAATTAGCCGGGTGTGGTGGCACATGCCTGTAGTCCCAGCTACTCAGGAGGCTGAGGCAGGAGAATCACTTGAACCCTGGAGGTGGAGGCTGCAGTGAACCAAGATCGTGCCACTGCACTCCAGCCTGGTCCACAGGCTCCACCAAAAAAAGAAAAAAAAAAAAAGCAATAGGCAAATCTTGAATTTGGGGTAGTCTAGGACAAAGGTGGATTTAGGGTGCATTATTCTAGATTGAAAAAGATTTAAAAGAACTAATACGCAAATGCAATACATGGCTCTTGCTTGGATCCAGATTCTCATACATCTGACAGAAAGCTCCTTTGCTCAAGAATTAACTACCATTTACATGATATTCTCATAACAAAAAGAGGTTGTTATACTTCCCATTTTACAGGTCAAAGAAATGCAATTCAAAAAAAGACACATTGATTTTCTAAAGATACACAGTAAATAACTGAGCCAGGATTCAAATCTGGTGTCCTCTCAATAATGTTAGTGCTTACATTGTTAAATACTGCCTCCTGTAACATGTTGTGATAGCTTTTGCTTGTGCAGCCCTAGGATACTGAGTTAAAACTTTGTTTGGGAATAATTGATACATGGTGACTTTCTAGGGCTACTGCATTTTTTCCTATTCTGCTAGTCTAAAAAGAATGTCTGTATAGTAAAATAACTTGCTAGGTCACCAAGACAGAGCCAATTTCACATGTCAAAACCATGCATATGCTATTACTCTCACTGTCATTGGGTTATGAGGAAAGTGAGAAGAAGAAGAAGAGTTGAGAAGTGTCTAGGGAAAGAGGGTGAAGGGGAAAAAATACTGTATTGATGGTTAGGTGGCTTGCAAGCTTTGATGGAGGAATTTGACTTGCTTAAAATCGGGTACCTGTGGGTGTCTTGAAAGCAAGCCAGGAAGTTGTTCTGCCTCACTCTTGTTTTGAAGTGTCAAACTTACAGAAAGATTGAAAGGGTATGCATCCTTATACCTTTTCCCTGGATTCACCCCCATTGTTAACTGTTTGCTACATTCATATTTTCTCTATTTATACATATACATATATATATATAAAAATATATATATACACACTTCTTTTTTTCTTTTGAGACAGAGTTTCACTGTCGCCCAGGCTGGAGTGGGATGGTGCGATCTCAGCTCACCACAACCTCCTCCTCTCAGGTTCAAGCGATTCTCCTGCCTCAGCCTCCTGAGTAGCTGGGATTACAGGCATGTGCCACCATACCCAGCTAATTCTGTATTTTAAGTAGAGACAGGATTTCTCCATGTTGTTCAGCCTGGTCTAGAACACCTGACCTCAGGTAATCTGCCTGCCTTGGCCTCCCAAAGTGCTGGGATTACAGGCGTGAGCCACCGCACTTGGCTATACATTTTTTTAAATTGTTGAACCTTCGGGAACCTTCGGAAACCTTCGGAAAGCTTCAGGCTTCCAGATGGCTTCCTGCTGTGCGTCAATATATATATCTCCTAACAACAAGGGCATTTTACTTCTTACTGTGATAATTTTATTGTGCTCAATTTAACACTGGTACGACAGTATGTGATATACAGTCCATACTAAGAATCTCACATTTATTCGTTCCCAACTGTTTTTTTTTTTTTGGGAGATAGAGTTTCGCTCTGTCACCGAGGCTGGAGTGCCATGCTGCAGTCTCAGCTCCCTGCCATGTCTGCCTCCCAGGTTCCAGTGGTTCTCCTGCCTCAGCCTCCCAAGCAGCTGGGATTACAGGCACATGCCACCATGCCCAGCTAATTTTTTGTGTTTTTGGTAGAGATGGGGTTTCACCATGTTAGCCAGGATGCTCTTGAACTCCTGGCCTTAAAGGAGCCGAGCGCCTTGGCCCCCCAAAGTGCTGGGATTACAGGAGTGAGCCACCATACCCAGCCTGTTGCCAGCATTTTTTTGTTTTATTTTGTTTTGTTTTTATTTTAAGATCTCAGATGCAATCAGAGGTCACACATTGTATTTCTCATGTTTGTTTCCTCTCCTTAAATCTAGAAACCTTTTTTTATGCTTGTTTTTCCTGACATTGATATTTTTGAAGAATGCATACCAGTTGTCTTATAAGAATGCTCCACAATCTGAATTAATTTTCTCATGGTTAGCTTGAAGGTCAGTATTTTTGGAAAGAATATTATACAGGCAATGTTGTATACTTGCCATAGCATCCTATCAGGAAGCCCATAAGTTTGTCCCATATTTTTTAGTTTTTTTAAAAAAATAAGTAATGTATGGGGTGAATCTCTGCAGTATTAATATCTTGTTTTTCCAAGAACTTCTACCCAGTGATTTTAGCATTCATTGATGATTCTTGTGTGAATGTTTAATACATTTGTGATTATGGAATCAGATTTTAAACGTGGTGTCTTTTCTCACTCATAGGAAGGATTCCCTGTCTTGGATGTGAGTCTGCTTTCTTGAAGAAAACTTGACTTTATTTCATTCAGTGGGAAGAGCAGCAGCACAGCTATTAAGTTCTAATGTGCAATTGGCTGCAAGCTGTGAAGTGTTCGTGGCAGTAGACTCTGAAGCTAAGGAGCTGAGGGCTTAACAAGTTTCTAGAAGCTGCCATTAACATGCCAAGTCAGTAAAACTGAAAGCTGGCCAGATTTCAAGGTCTGGGGAGGATATCCACTGCATACTGGGTCGTGAGCTCTAGAGAGCTACACCTTGCTAAACTAAAAGAATTATCTTACCTACTATCTTTGTTCAAGGCTCAATGGAATTTGTGGCGGCCCTGGCTGACCTCCGAGCAGAGGCTAGCTGTCCCATCTGTCTGGACTACTTGAAAGACCCAGTGACCATCAACTGTGGGCATAACTTCTGTCTCTCCTGCATCATTATGTCCTGGAAGGATCTAGATGATAGTTTCCCCTGCCCCTTTTGCCACTTTTGCTGTCCAGAAAGGAAATTTGTAAGCAATCCCCAGCTGGGTAGTTTGACTGAACTTGCTAAGCAACTCCAGATAAGAAGCAAGAGGAAGAGGCAGGAAGAGAAGCATGTGTGTAAGAAGCATAATCAGCTTTTGACTTTCTTCTGTCAGAAAGACCTAGAGCTTTTATGTCCAAGGTGCAGTTTCTCCACTGATCACCAGCATCACTGTGTTTGGCCCATAAAGAAGGCTGCCTCGTATCATAGGAAGAAACTGGAGGAATATAATGCACCGTGGAAGGAGAGAGTGGAACTAATTGAAAAAGTCATAACTATGCAAACCAGAAAATCACTGGAACTGAAGAAACAGGTAAAACATAGGGCAGAAGAAGTCAAGTCTGAATTTGAGCAACTTAGGTTATTTCTGCAAAATCAGCAAGAGACTGTTCTTAGGCAATTACAAGATGAAGAGATGGATATTTTAGCACAACTAAATGAAAGCCTAACAAAATTTTCAGATTATACCTCCTCATTAAAATATCTCCTAAAGGAGATAGAGAGCATACATGTGAAGTCAGAACTGGAATTACTGGCTAATGTTAAGGATATCTATCACAGATATAAAAATTTAAAATTCCCTGAACCTTTTTCATTCAAATTAAAAGAATATGGTTACCATCTGCCTCCACAGTATTCTGGCCTAAACAAAATCATCAAGCGATTTCAAGTAGATGTAATTCTAGATCCTGAAACAGCACATCGTAAACTTATAGTCTCAGAAGATAGAAAAACTGTGCGGTATGGAAATACAACACAAAACTTACCTCGTAACCCAAGAAGATTTTATCTCCTCCCAGCTGTCCTGGGTTCTAAGGGATATAGCTGTGGCAGGCAGTACTGGGAAGTAGAAGTGAAAGACAAGCCTGAATGGATTCTTGGTGTCTGTAATGACTCTCTTCCCAGAAGGAGGAAGAGTCAACCAATTTTAGTACAGGATGGACTATGGGGAATTTGGCGATCTAGTCAGAATAATTATATTGTATTGGGCCATAAGGAAATTATTCTGCTGCCCAAAGTAACACCTAGTAAGATTGGCATTTTCTTAGACTATGAAATGAATGAGGTTTCCTTTTATAATTTGAATGATAGATCTCTTCTCTATACTTTTAATGATGATTTTACAGGAGCACTTTGGCCTTATTTTTATACTGGAACTGACTCAGGACCTCTTAAAATTTCTACAGTAACAGATTCTGAATGAACTAGTAGAAGACTCATTTTCTTTCACCTATTGGACATAACTGAGCCAGTGAATCTAGTTTTGGCCATTCTGTATTTTGTCCAGTTTTTCCCACAAAAAAACAACATTTTTTATCTCAGTTTCAGCAACTTCCAAAAAATGTGATTATGGGACCTACTTTATGATAAATTATGGGGTCAATGACAAGGTAGTTTAGAAAGTCTACAGTAAAATACTTGAAAAATCTATTACTGAATAAATGTATTATGTAAGAAAATATATTACTTTTGTAATTGCCAATAAAGCCCAATAATTTTTTTCTGTATTATATACTTTTAAGAAAGATTAAGTCTTTATTCAAGGCATTCATCATTACTCTTGGACTACCTGCTATTTAAATATAGCCTCTTTTTCTTCTTTTCTTTTTCCTCTTCTCCCCTCCCCTCTCCTTTTTTCGTTCCCCAGTGCAATGGCTGGGATCTCTGCTCACTGCAGCCTTCGTCTCCCAGGGTCAAGCAGTTCTCCTGCCTCAGCCTCCCAAGTAGCTGGGATTATAGGTTTGTACCACCACACCCAGCTAATTTTTGTATTTTTAATAGAGACGGGGTTTCACCATGTTGGTCAGGCTAGTGTCGAACTCCTGACCTCCAGTGATTCACCTGCTTCGCCCTCCCAAAGTGCTGGGATTACAGGTGTGAGCCACTGCGCTGAGCCAGGTAGCTACTTTGAATCTTTTTTTTTTTAATTAAAGTTTTTATTTTTCTATTTTGCCCAGGGTGGTGTTGACCTCAAGCAATTCTCCTGCCTTAGCCTCTCAAAGCACTGGGATTACAGGCATGAACCACTATGTCCAGTGCCACTTTCACCTTGCATTTGTCTACCTCCGTGTTTTTTTTTTTTTTTTTTTTTTTTTTTTTGAGACAGTCTCACTCACTCTCTCGCCAGGCCGAAGTGCGAGCTCATTGCGAGCTCCACCTCCCGGGTTCACGCCATTCTCCTGCCTCAGCTTCCTGAGTAGCTAGGACTACAGGTGCCTGGCACCATGCCCGGCTAACTTTTTTGTATTTTTAGTAGAGATGGGGTTTCACCATGTTAGCCAGGATGGTCTCGATCTGACCTTGTGATCCACCCGCCTCGGCCTCTCAAAGTGCTGGGAATACAGGTGTGAGTCACCACGCCCGGCCCTACCTCCGTATTTCTAAGTAACTTACTTTATTTTTTATTTTGTGTGCCTTTGTCAGTATTGCCTTAGTCCTATAGAAAATAAGATGGCACTCTTACGTCTTCCTCTGCCACACACACGACCAGTAGATAATCTGTTCCCACTGGACAGAGTACCCTCTAGTGCTGTGCAGCTACAGTCCTTCACTTTGGGAACTGATCACTAGTCTCAGAATCCATCTTAACTTAGTTGCATGTTTTCCTCCTTAGGTTTATTCTGTTAATTCAGGCATTAACATCTTGCAATAGATCACAGATGGATGACATTTGGAAAAACTTGTGTCAACAAAAAAGACTAGAGCTTTTGATGGGATTATGTTTTATCTTTTTAGATTAATATGGAGAAAACTGACATATCAGCTAGTAGACATAACTGAGACAGTGAATCTATTCCATGCATTTTTATGTAATTGTCTGGAATTTAGTTTTTAGTGTATGTGTATTTAACATCTTTTGTCAGATTTGTCCTTAAGTATTAATTTTTTATGTTGATTATTTCAATTCTAATTGTTCATTACTAGTATATAGAAAACTAATTTTTGAATATTAATCTTATTTCCTATAGCTTGCTAAACTCATTTTTAGTAGCTCTTGTTTAGATTCCATTGGATTTTCCGTAGAGATAGTCGTGTCATGGGCAGGTAAAGACATCTGTATCTCTTCCTGTGTTATATAGATTTTTTTTTGATAGAGCTCACTCTGTCACCCACATTGTAGTGCAGTGGCATGAATGATCTCGTCTCACTGCAACCTCTGCCTCCTGGGTTCAAGCAGTTCTGGAGCCTCAGCACCGCCCCCTCTCCACCCCAAGTAGCTGGGATTGCGGGTGCCCGCCACCATGCCCGGCTGATTTTTGTATTTTTAGTAGAGATGGGGTTTCATCATGTTGGCCAGGCTGGTCTGGATCTCCTGACCTCAGGTGATCCACCCATTCTGGCCTCCCAAAGTGCTGGAATTACAGACATGAGCCACTGCACCCAGCCCAAAAGCACAATTTTTAAAAATCTAAGTTTAATGTTTGAATTATTGTTCACAAAATTTATTTGAATTACAAATATTGCTCTGTAACCACTTTTGCAAGTTTTTCAGAGGCAGCCACTTTGAACTCCTCAGCTCTTTTGGTATTTGCTTTTATAGTCACTAAATGACGTTCCAGTAATACCTCTGGATTTTTCAGTTTGAAGTGTTAAAATATGATGTCCCACTTTGGAAAACAAGAATTTGGAACAGGCTTCACCTTGTGGCCCTCTTCTAATAGAATTTCTCATTTTTGTTTTAGAATATTTTCTCACATTTATTTTGACTATTTCAATACCATTCATTTCTGAGCCATGTATTGTCAAGTGATTTCCTTTTTGCTTTTTCTATAACTGTTTCCTGTAGTTAATACTTATCTAATCTTCAATATGCTTTGTATTCCATGTTCTTCTTATTCATTCATTCCCAAACTGTCTGCTGCAGTTGTCTAGTTTTCTGAATTCATTTAAAGGCATGTGGCTTTACACCATTTTCATCTTGCAGAATGCTCTCAAGGAGCCCTCTCATCTGCAACGCAGGCACCTTTGTTCACTAAGCCAGCTGCTCAGGTATCTTGGAGATATTCTTGGCATCTCTTGGATTGTTTTACCTGTCTATGTTTTTCCATTTGGAAGTTGGTTTCTTGTTTAATTGGAGCACATCCTTAAGTAGTTTTCTAATAAGGTGCATGAGAAATAAAGTTTTTGAGACCTTTGTATCTGAAAATGTCTTTAGTCTATCCTGATATTTAACCAGAAGTTTATCAGGGCCTAGAATTATAGTTTTAAAACAATTCACTCTTATGTATTTTTAACCTTTTAAATTGGGAAATATAATGTTGTGATATTTACAATGTATTATGAAATACATTAAGGCCAGGTGCGGTGGCTCATGCCTGTAATCCCAACACTTTGGGAGGCCGAGGCAGGCAGATCAGGTCAGGAGTTCGAGACTATCCTGGCTAACACAGTGAAACCCCGTCTCTACTAAAAATTCAAAAAATTAGCCGGGCTTGGTGGCATGCACCTGTAGTCCCAGCTACTCGGTAGGCTGAGGCAGAAGAATCACTTGAACCCGGGAGGCAGAAGGTGCAGTGAGCCGAAATCGCGCCACTGCACTCCAGCCTGGGTATCATCTCAGAAAATTAAAAAAAAAATACAAAAAATGACACATTAGCATAGGCAGAATTCTATAAGCATGAGATTTAATCAATACATTACGTAGATTTGGTCATGAACTCACACCCAAGATCAGCTGGCCTTATAATGGATAAATTTAAGCTCCAGGTGCTATTGTAACGCTTCAGTTTAAGTTTTTTGTTTTTGGCTTTTTTGAGATGGAGGCTCGCTCTGTTGTCCAGGCTGGAGTGCAGTGGTGCAGTCTCAGCTCACTGCAGCCCCCCTCTCCTGGGTTCAAGCAACTCTCACGCCTTAGCCTCTGGAATAGTTGGAGTTACAGACTTGCGCCACCGCGCCCGGTCAATTTTTGTAATTTTAGTAGAGACGGGCTTTCACCAGGTTGGCCAGGCTGGCCTCAAACTCCTGATCTCAAGTAATCCACCCACCTCAGCTTCCCAATGTGCTGGGATTCCAGGTGTGAGCCACTGCAACCAACCAGTTATTTTATACCGATTCAGAGCAAATTACACGTCTCCTGGTTGAATTACAATAATTAGTAGACATCAAAAATAGGATGACATTGGTGAAATAAGTGTTATTAGAGATACATGGGTCAACTGAAATAGTCAAAGATCTATAAACTCAGTGGCTTCCGTGGACAAGAAAACAGTCATAGTTTAAATACAGAATCATTTCTGTAAGTGAAAAGAGTTTTGTAAATGAAGAATGTAGAATGATGTATTTCCAGCATCCCTACTCTGCACTCCCCTTGCCAGTCTCTGGTTACTTAATATTCTACCACCAACCTTGTGTACCAAGAAATCATCACTATAATATTCTTACCCCATTTCCCCTACATAATCAGGCTTCTTAATTGTTCAATCCCTTACTCATTGCTGAAACTAAGGCACTGAGATACTGGAAAGAGCATGCATTTGAAATCCTATACTAGGTTGGGCAGTTTGTGGCAGTTATCAATATATTGCCTCTATCTTTATCTTTTCAAAGAATCAGCTTTGATTTTGTTGATTTTTCTCTCGTTTCCAATTTTCAGTTTTACTGAGTTGTTTCAATTTTTATTTTTGTCCTTCTGTATGCTTTACATTTAAAAGCTCTCCATCTCCTTTTTTTCCTCTAGTTTCTTTCTTTCTTTCTTTTTTTTTTTTTTTTTTGAGATGGAGTCTCACTCTGTTGCCCAGGCTGGAGTGCAGTGGTGCGATCTTGGCTCATTGCAAGTTCTGCCTCCTGGGTTCATGCCATTCTCCTATCTCAGCCTCCTGAGTAGCTGCGACTACAGGTGCCCGCCACCACGCCCAGCAATTTTTTGTATTTTTAGTAGAGACAGGATTTCATCGTGTTAGCCAGGATGGTCTCGATCTCCTGACCTCGTGATCCGCCTGCCTCAGCCTCCCAAAGTGCTGAGATTACAGGCATGAGCCAGTGTGCCCGGCCATTTTTCTCTAGTTTCTTAAGGTAAAGGGTTAAGTTACTGATTTTAGATTTTTTTCTAATATATGTTATAAATTTAATGCTATAAATTTCACTCTAAATACTGCTTTAGCTGTGTTACACAAACATTGACATATTGTATTTTTATTTTTATTTTGCTCAAAATATTTATTTAATTTCCCTGAGACTCTTTGACCCAAGGGGTATTTAGAAGTGTACTAGTTTTAACTTTTTTGTGGATTTTCCAGAGATTTTTCTGTACTATCTATTATAATTTTGTACAGTCTGATAATATAGTTTGTGTGATTTCTTTTTTTTTTTTCCTGAGACAGAGTTTCACTCTTGTTGCCCATGCTGGAGTGCAATGGCACAATGTCGCCTACTGGGTTCAAGCGATTCTCCTGTCTCAGCCTCCCGATTAGCTGGGATTACAGGTGCACACCACCACGCCTAGCTAATTTTTGTATTTTTAGTAGATACGAAGTTTCTCCATGTTGGCCAAGTTGGTCTCGAACTCCTGACCTCGGGTGATCTGCCTGCCTTGGCCCCCCAAAGTGTTGGGATTACAGGCATGAGCCACCATGCTCTGTCATTTGTGTGATTTCTATTCTTTAAATGTGTGAAGGCATGTTCCATAGCCCATGATGTGGTTTATCTTGGTGAGTGTCCCACAGGAACTTGAAAATAATGCTTATTTTGAGTTCTCTGTTTTTAGTTTTTACTGGAGACAAGATCTCACCAATGTTGCCCAGGTTTGTCTCAAACTCCCGGCCCCAAGTGATCCACCCAACTTGGACTTCAAAAGTGCTAGGATTGGCCGGGCGCGGTGGCTCAAGCCTGTAATCCCAGCACTTTGGGAGGCCGAGACGGGCGGATCACGAGGTCAGGAGATCGAGATCATCCTGGCTAACACGGTGAAACCCCGTCTCTACTAAAAAATACAAAAAACTAGCTGGGCGAGGTGGCGGACACCTGTAGTCCCAGCTACTCGGGAGGCTGAGGCAGGAGAATGGTGTAAACCCGGGAGGCGGAGCTTGCGGTGAGCTGAGATCTGGCCACTGCACTCCAGCCTGGGCGACAGAGCGAGACTCTGTCTCAAAAAAAAAAAAAAAAAAAAAAGTGCTAGGATTAAAACAGGCTCTGACTATATTGCCCAGGCTGGCATTCAATAGCCTATTCATAGGCACAATCATAGCCCACAGCAGCCCCAAACTCCTACTCTCAAGAGATCTTCCTGCCTCAGTCTCCTGAATAGCTGGACTACAGGTGCACTCCACCATGCCTGGCTTCTCTCGGTTTAATCAAGCATGTTTTAGGATTACATTTTAATCTCTTCTATTAACTTATTTTATACATCTTTTAAGAACATTTTCAGTGGTTCTCCCAGGGTTTATAGTATACATTTTAAAATAATTTGGGGCCTCCTTTAAATGAATTATACTGTTTCCCTTTCAGTATAAGAACCTTGTAATAGTATATTCCCAATTCTCACTGATCCTTTGTGGTCCTGTATTCATACAATACTTTTACATATGCTGGAAAAACGCCATATATTATTGTTTTAAACTGCTAGTTATCTTTTAGAGCAATTACCTTTATTTTATTTTTATGCACTTTATTTCTTTGTGTAAACACAAGCTTCTGACATGTATAATATACCTTTGGTACGAAGTACTTTTATTAACATTTCTTGTAGTGTCCACTTGATGGCAATGAATTCTCTCCATTTTACTTTTTCTAAGTATTTCGACTTAGAAATTTTGATAAACATGCTAATTGGTTACAGAATTGTGAGTTGGCAGGGTTTTTTAATTTACAGAAGTAATATCATCTCCTGGATTTCACATTTTCTGATGAGAGGTCTGTTGTAATTCTTATCCTCCTTCCTTTGTCAGTAGTTATGCACTGCAAAACAGTGGTTCAGCCACTGACCGCATACACGACAGTGGTCCTATAAGATTAGAAAACTATTTTTACCGAACTTTTTCTATGCTTAGATACACAAATATTTGCCATTGTATTATAATTGTCTATAGTATTCAGTACAGTAACTTGCTGTACAGGTTTATAGGCTTGGAGCATTAGGCTGTACCGTGTAGCTTACAGGCATAATAAGCTACACAACTGCAATCTAGGTTTGTGTAACATACTCTATGACGTTCACAGAATGATGAAATCGTCCTATGACGTACTTCTCAGAACATATTCCCATAGTTAATGTATGCATGGCAGTAATGTAGTTTTTTACTTGGGCTGCCTTGAAAACTGTTTTTGATTTTAATTTTCAGCAGTTTCAATTTGGTATGTTTGGGGATTTGCTATCATTTTTCTTGTTTTGGGTTTGTTTGGTGTTTTTTGATATTCATTATGCTTGTTGTTCTCTGGGCTTCTTGGTTCTGGAGTTTTGATGTCTGTAACTAAATTCTTGGCCTTTTTTTTTTTTTTTTCCAAATATTTTCTGCTTTTTTTTGTTTTTAAATTTTTATTTATTTTTGCCATCATTTCCTAGTGATGAGATTTCTTCTTTCTGAGATGCCAAGTATCCACAAACGACACCATTTGATACTGTCCCACAGTGCTTAGGTTCTCTTTTGTATTCTTTTCACTTTATATTTCAGTTTGGGTAATTTGTTTATCTTCAAGTTCACTGATTATTTCCCTCAGTGTGTTGAGGGTACTGATGAGCCCATTGAAAGCATCTTCATCTCTTTTCTGTGGTTTTCATTGCTAGCATTTCCATTTGATTTTATAGTTTCTAACTCTCTGATAAAATTATCTATCTGATCCTGCATGTTGTCTTTATTTTCTGCCAAAGCCTTTAATATGTAAATTATCGTTATTTTTCTTTTTCTTTTTTTGCCTGAGAGTTCTTACTTTGTGTCATAGCTTAGTCTGGTTCTGAATGTTTTGTTTTGTCAGAGTATGGTTTATTGTCCTCTTACATTGTCTTTTTGTATGCCTTATGTTTTTTTTTTTTTTTTCTTTTGTAAAAACCAGACATGTATAGGCAAATATATACTGAGGTAAATATATGTATACATTTTTTTTTTTTAGCCAGAGTCTCACTCTGCCACCCGGGTTTCAGTGCAGTAGCACCATCTTGGCTCACTACGACCTCTGCTTCCTGGTTTCAAGTGATTTTCCTGCCACAGCCTCCTGAATAGCTGGGATTATAGGTATGTGTCACCACACCCGGCTAATTTTTGTATATTCAGTAGAGATGGGGATTCTCCATGTGGGTCAGGCTGGTCTTGAATTCCTGACCTCAGGTGATCCACCTGCCTCCGGCCTCCCAAAGTGCTGGGATTACGGTCGTGAGCCACCACACCCAGTTGGTAAATATTTTTATACTTGTAGATTATATTAGTTTTATAGGGAATACCCTAATAAGGTATCACAAACTGGGTGGTTTATGTAACAGGAAATTTTCTTTTCTTTTTTTTTTTGAGACAGAGTCTTACTCTGTCACCCAGATTGGAGTGCAGTGGTGCCATCTCGGCTCACTGCAACCTCCAACCCTCGGGTCCAAGCGAATCTCCTGCCTCAGCCTCCCAAGTAGCTGGGATTACAGGAGCCTGCTGCTGCACCTGGGTAATTTTTTTTTGTTTTTGGATTTTTAGTAGAGATGGAGTTTCGTCATCTTGGCAAGGCTGGTCTTGAACTTCTGACCTCGTGATCCACCCACCTCGGCCTCGAAAAGTGATGGGATTATGGGGTGTGAGCCATCGCGCCCAGCCCATAACAGGAAATTTATTGTCTCACAGTTCTGGAGACTGGGTCTAAATTATGGGTGTTGGCAGGATTGATTTGTACTGAGGGCTGTGATACAGAATTGCTTCCATGCCTCCAGGTTCTATTGTGTTGCTGCCAATGTTTGGCATTCCTTGGCTGGTAGATGCATCACGCCAATGGCATTCCCTCGTATTTCCTCATATAATCTTCCTCTATGCATAGCTTTGTGTCAAAATGTCATCTTTTTATAAGGACAGCAGTGATACTAGATTAAGGCCCACCCTAATGACCTCATTTTGACCAATTACCTTCTAAAGACCTAATTTCCAAATAAGGTCACATCTGAAGTACTGGAGTTAGCACTTCAACATACTTTTTTGGGAAAACACAATTCAACCAATAGCAGAGATGAACTTATTTCCCTTCTGCTAGGCCTGTAGTGAGGGTGTGTTTGTATTAATCAAGCGAGAGGTTAGGCAGAGTTTGAAGTTTGTTATTTCTATGGTTACCCTTAGTGCATTCAAGGCTTCACACTCCCCTAGTGATATGTCTTTTTCATTTCTCAAACTGGATTCTACTGTTATTTTTACTCAACTCCTGTTAGTGTGGTTTTGGGAGTTGGGGAAGCTCGTGTTCTCTGATGTTCTGATTGAGTATGAGTCATGGTCAGTCACTCTGAATTCTGGTTTCAGGCATGTGTGGCCTTCACAAATGTTCTTGACCCTCTTCCAGATGTGATGCTGGGCCTAGCACACATTCCCACATCTCACAGCACACAGGGAAATGACTGGCACATCTTCCAAGTCCCCTTTCTCAGGGAACTACCTGGTGATACGCTCACCAAAAGAAGGGAAGAAAACTGAGAAGGGAAACAAGGGACTCAGACAACAATAGACTTAAAACCTCTGGACATAAGATAGAAGATAAAAGATAATTCTTAGGGTAATGGAAACATGAAAGGCCTCACAGGATAGCTGTGCATCATGTTCAAATTTCAGTTCATGCTAAGATGATAGAGAGCTTCCGGAGATTGAGCGCTACAAAGAAAATGAATAAAATCAACAAATTACATGTCGAGATTACTTTTATTGAGAGGAACTTTAGAGATTAGCAGCTATGGGGCTGAAAGAGAAAAACAGAAAATGCAGCAAGAAATCAGGCAATTAGTAAAACAAAATTTGTGGGCCAGGGGCGGTGGCTCACACCTGTAATCCCAGAACTTTGGGAGGCCAAGGCGGGTGTATCACGAGGTCAGGAGATCGAGACCACCCTGGCTAACACAGTGAAACCCCATCTCTACTAAAAATACAAAAAATTAGCTGGGCATGGTGGCGGGCACCTGTAGTCCCAGCTACTCGGGAGGCTGAGGCCAGAGAATGGTGTGAACCCGGGAGGCGGAGCTTGCAGTGAGCCGAGATTGCGCCACTGCACTCCAGCCTGGGCGACAGAGCCAGGTTCCGTCTCAAAAAAAAAAAAAAAAAAATTGTGTATCAAATAAATTATAATTATAGTACCTAAGAGGCTCAGCTGTGAACAATTATATAGTTGTATGAATATCCAATTATATTACCATAGTTGGATGTTTGTGGAGAAAGATAAGAGTATGTGCCTGGGTGGTGCGAGAGACCTAAATTCTCAGTTTACCTAATAGAATATTAATTTAAAATGTCTAACATTAGACATATTGCAGTTATGGAGAAATAGCAAGGTCACTGGAATAAATCATGCCTCTGTTTAACAGGGATTTGGTGTAGGATGGCATGACCCAGGAGGTTTTTGTTTTTATATAAGCCTGTTTTGTTGTTGGACTGAACTAACAGCTCTCTATATAATTTTGACAAAATTCATAAAGTGGAAAGCATTGAATTATTGACTGTGTAATACCATCTTTCATCTTAGAACATCAAAAGTACTTTACAATTTATTCCTATTACATCTCTGAAGAGTAGGCATTTCTAATACTGATAGTTGCTAAAATAATGAAAGAAAAAAACTTCCTTCTGCTTATAAGTGGCAGACAGAATTCAGAATTGAAGAGCTCCTCTTCTAAATAAGACACAAAGTAGCTTTCAAGTAATTCATCCTTCATAATCTATTACTGTACAGATTATAAGAGGTTAGAAATCATACTCAGTGTGAAACACAGCCTAAATAGTTTCATAAAAATATGACTTGAAGAAAAGATATGAGACCTGGCATGCAAGTTATAAGATTAAACCTAATCTCCTTCATTGTCCAGAAAAATCCTAGTATTACTGGGTTTTACTTTTAATAGAACGATTGCCACTCTACGTACTGTAATTACTTTGGCAAAGTTATTACATTTCTGTAGCTGAATACTAAAGCATGAATCCTATTGTGACGGTGTCTTTTTCCATCTCTTGGGAAGACAATTCTAACAAACAAACAACTCTATTGTATCTGTCCAGTTTGATTTTGTCCTCTTTGTCTTCCTCCTAGTAATACCAGCCTTAATCTTTTTTGGACCATGAGTTTTTGTGGTGTCTTTCCAAATCTCACTGTATTCTATCTTCAGAGATAAAAGATTATGACTTTGTTTCAGAATCTAGAGTCAGATCTATGTAAAATGAATTAAGAATGTTTTGTCGACCATAATGTTGTGGCAGAAGTCTAGAATCATCATCCCTTGTTAAAATGGAAAAGCTCATATAATTTTTATCTTAATACCTGTTATTGATACATACCCGTATATCAGTTACTAATTATCTGAGTGAATAGTTTGCTATCTCACTTATTAGAGCTTTAAGTAAGAAAACATGGTCTGAAAGTTTTGTTTTCATCTAGTGTATCATATCCTATTTATATTTTCAGGTTTTCAGAACTGCATCTTATTCGTTTTCCGAATAAAGCATAAAGCGCTCAAAATCAGAGTTTACTCTCTTCCTCTAATATTCCACTATCTTCGGTAGCATCCATGTATTTTTAGTTAACATAACTATTGGTTTAGTTTTGGCTTATTTAAAGCATTTCACACTTGCTGTTTCAGAGGTCAGATGTCCCCTGTGAGCTTCTTCCTTGAGGCAGCCCGCTCTACAGGAGAGGCCAGTCCAGCGGGAAGACAGCCCACTGCAGACCAAACCAACCATCTAGTCCTTGTCACAAAAAGAGGCTGCAACCTGATGGTGATTCTCTTCCTGACTTTTCCTGGTGGTCCTTCTGACTTGGAGGGGCCTGGCAATTTCAGTGCCGTTGACAGCCGGAATGTTGCCACTAAAATTCCTTCCTCTCTGGGCAGCATGAGCGGCTGACAGGGCACGCGGAGAAAACGATTCGCTTTCCCCAGGCTTGGTGGAGCGACTGCTGTTGGACGAGTGTGGTCGTCTCAGGATCTCTGAGCAAAGAGACACTGCCAAGGCGGCGGCTGTTCAACGTTTAAGGTATGTTAGGGAGACCCGAAGCCCTGCACCAGGAACGCAGTTTAGTTCGCCCAGCCCACCCTGCAGGGCTGCCTCTCCAGGCGCTGGGTCCGGGGAGAAGAGGGCAGCTGCCACGCCGCACTACGCATCCTTCCATCCACTGTGGTACCTGGCGCTGCCCCTGGTCTCCAAAGTCGAGCTCCACCTCCGCGGTCTCACCTGGAAGTCGAAGCCCAGAGAAGGTGCCGGCCGCGGCCAATCACTGTTCTGCCGCCCCCACTTCCGCTACGGACTCGCGCAGCCTCCTGGGCCAAACGCTGCAGTGCTTGGGGCGCCGAGGCCTGCAGAGAGCTGTGTGTTCGGTGAGAAGTTTGCATTCTCAAGGAACCTCAGCTGTTGGGTTTGCTCTTCTGCCACCCACCCCTACCTGTGCCAGACTGAGGGCTCTCCCTGCCCCACCTTAACAGAAGAGAATTCCAGGTGCTGTTTTAATTTATTGAATCTTACTTATAAATGGTTGGAGAAAAATGTGGTTATAATTCACACTGAACAGCTTATTAAAAGTTACAGTATCACTATGATAATTGAGATATTGTCTTTTAGGGAATAAATAATGAAATTATAAGATGAAATATATAAGATGTCTGGGAATTTGCTCCATTGGCAGAAGTTGGTGGGGTTATAAAGACTGTTAATTCAAATGATAGAGGTTGGTTTCTTTTTATGTGTAGGTTCTTCATAATGTTCTCTCTACTATTGTGGATGCACGAAATACTCCACAATTTAAAAGCTTCCTTTCGTGGCCGGCATGGCAGCTCATGCCTATAATCCCAGCACTTTGGTAGGCTGTGGGCGGATCATATGAGCTCTGGAGTTTGAGATCAGCCAGGCCAACCTGGTGAAACCCCATCTCTACAAAAAATACAAAAATTAGCCTGGCATGTTGGCCCGCCCCTGTGGTCTCAGCTACATCGGAGGCTGAGTTGGGAAAATCGCTTGAACCGGGGGAGCCAAGGTTGCAGTGAGCCAGGATGGCGCCACTGCACCCAAGTCTGGACGACAGAACGAGACCCTGTCTCAAAAAAATAAAAATAAATAAACAAAAGATTTATTTCAAAAGTCTAATCATGTTTCAGCGTTATCAATGCCTCGTTCCAGAAAATCTCATTTCTCTTACTTTTTTCTTTGAGCCGCCTCCCCGCTTTCAGTCCACCTCAGGGCTTTCAGATCTGTCTCCTTTTCTCTTCCTCCTCACAGTTGTCCCTAATCTTAATCGATTTTCCATCCTCTACCAATCCTATCTCCTTTCCTGTCTGCACCCTTTTTTTATCTCATAAAACTGCCAAATTAGTTTAAACTGGGATTGAGGAAAGACCGAGACCAGGCATTGTGCTTCCACCTGGGCGTGTGTCCGGTGTGTGGATCCCAGGCCTGGTCTCAGATTACCTGAGTCACCTGGGGCTGGTTCCTTGATCCCCCTCTTCACCCTGTAGTGGTCACATGAAAACAAGGACAATCAACCTCAATTGGACTGCAGTGGCAAGATTGTAGCTCACTGTATCCTCAAACTCCTGACCTCAAGCAATCTTCCTGCCTGGGCCTCCGTGCTACTCAGGTTGCTGTCTTGAGCCATTGAGCTCAACCTGGAAAAATTTTTTTAAAACAGGATTTGGTGTGGCACTGAACTCAAGATATTCCAAGAATGGTTTGTGTTTCTCATACTTCTGTTGACTGTTTAATGGTAGATATGCTGATTATGCAGAACAGTTCAGACATAATTAGATGTAATTAGGGCAAACCAGCATGAGGCCCCTTATGAGAAATCCAAATCTGTGATTGTTATACAACATACAAAAGAACTTTCTCATATACGAGTCAGAGTAAAGAATAAACCGCATAGGTATATGTGTAGGATATGTATATGCCACTATAATACCATTATACACACACACACACACACACACATATATATATATTTTAAGATGGAGTCTCCCTCTGTCACCAGGCTGGAGTGCAGTTGTGCGATCTCAGCTCACTCCAACCTCCGCCTCCCAGGTTCACACGATTCTCCTGCCTCTGGCTCCCGAGTAGCTGGGACTACAGGCACGCGCCACCAAGCCCAGCTAATTTTTGTATTTCTAGTAGAGACAGGGTTTCACCATGTTGGCCAGATGGTCTCGATCTCTTGAACTTTGTGATCTGCCTGCCTCGGCCTCCCAAAATGCTGGGATTACAGGCGTGAGCCACCATGCTGGGCCAATAAAATTTTAAGTAAATATAAAAACATATTTATATTTTATTTTTTGTAGAGATGGTTGTCCAGTCTGGTCTGGAACTCCTGACCTCAAGCGATCCTCCTGCTTTGACCTCCCAGACTGCTGGGATTATAGCCATGCTGCCAGCCATGTGTAGGGTATGTATATGTTCATATAATACTATAAAATTTTAATTACATTTGTAAGATATGTAATTATATGTATTTCTGTATAATATGTTCATATAAATATGCTAATACAAGAACATATTGAAGTATAATCAAATATATATAATTTTAGATGTATATTGAAATATCTTTCTTTCTTTTTTTTTTTTTTTTTGAGACGGAGTCTCGCTCTGTCGCCCAGGCTGGAGTGCAGTGGCCAGATCTCAGCTCACTGCAAGCTCCGCCTCCCGGGTTTACGCCATTCTCCTGCCTCAGCCTCCCGAGTAGCTGGGACTACAGGCGCCCGCCACCTTGCCCGGCTGGTTTTTTGTACTTTTTAGTAGAGACGGGGTTTCACCGGGTTAGCCAGGATGGTCTCGATCTCCTGACCTCGTGATCCGCCCGTCTCGGCCTCCCAAAGTGCTGGGATTACAGGCTTGAGCCACCGCGCCCGGCCGAAATATCTTTCTAAAAACACAAAACTGATGGTTGAAAAATAAAATGCATGAACTCCCCAGGGTTCCTTCTTATGTGGCTACTTTCCCCAGCTTAGGTCCAGCCAAAGGCTGCACACCCTTTACTGAGTGCAGCTCACCTGTGTCTCCTGGTGCAATCCTCACTCAGATATTCTGCTGCAAGCAGAGGGTTAGTGTAGGGTGCGGAGCCTACCTGTATTCACTTGTCAGCAGTTCACTGGGGATTGTCAGTTTTTTCCATCCTTGCAGAGCTGATGTTTCTTCCTCGATCCAGGTCAGAAGACACAACACAGTCCCTATTTCTTGTTCACCAAAATGGTGACCTCAGAATGAATTCAGTCTTATACCTTGTAGGGAGTTTTTTCCTTATGCAGTCAGCATAGGGGAAGTGACAGGTCCCAGAGGGCAATTCTGTCTTGTTCTCTGATTGCTCCTCCAGGGTCCTGGGTTGGTAAAGGGGACAGGGGTAGGGACCTGCAGAATGGTCATGAAGGGGTGGGAGCTGCGGAAGTAACACATCATGCACTGAGTGAAGCATAAGGGCAATTGCTGGGTGTCGCTCTGTCACCCTGTAGTGCAGTGATGCAGTCATGGTTCACTGTAACCTGGAACTCCTGGGCTCAAGCAATCCTGCAGCCTCAACCTTCCAAATAGCTAGGACTGCAGGCACATATCACCATGCCCAGCTAATTTTTAAAAATTATTCTTTTTGTAGAAATGGTGTCTCACTATGTAGGCCAGGCTAGTTGGGAACTCCTGGCCTTATCCTCCTTTCTTGAACTCCCAAAGTCCTGGGATTACAGCCATGGCTCCCAGCCAGTTTTTTGTTATTCATAATAAGCCCCTTTGGATCAACTGGATTTATGCTAATGAGGTGGGTTGGGTTGGGGCCCGGGGTAGCCTCAGGATAGGGCTGCTCAACAGAAGACCAAGTGATTAGAACTTTCAGTAGGATGGTGGGGGGTACCTGGAAAATAAACTTTATACAAACTCTTGAAGAATGTAATATGAGGAGCTTTGAGATTTGTGAACACTTTGAGGTGCGGGGAGGGTGGAACACCCAAGGAGGGAATGAAACTATATTTAAATATTAAATGTGATACCTATACTGCACTTACACTTTTAAAATCATTCTTTTAGTGATTTAAGATATAGATAAAATGATATGATATATGAATACTGCATTAAAATGATTTGGGGAAAGTAGAAAGAGGCTGAGTGCCTGTGAGAGCTTAATGTACTGCAATTTAGAGTCTGTAGGCCTTTCTTGAAGGTGGCCCCATTAAAGATGGGTGGATTTGGAAGTAACAGCATAAGTGACCTTAAGCAAAATTTATAAATGATGAATATGTTTCCTTCAGAATCCAAACAGGGTTAAAGATACTGGGCTTGTTTTCACATTGTGGGCATTGAGAGGTTTAATAGCTGTTTCTCCATAGTATCAGAGATGGAGTTGCTTTCAGTTTACCAAATAATTTTCAGGCAATTAATCAAATGAGGGGCTTGCACTGTGTGGGGGTAATGACCCATTCCCTTTGTGTAAACTCCTTTGTGAGTATTTTCATGGCTTGAATGAGTGTTTCAAATGGATCACCATGGAGGAGAATGTCATCCATTTAAATCATACCTGCTGTTCTGGAAGAAGTTGAATGAAGTTGAAATCTTCCCTACAAGGTTTGTGTGCAAAGGCAAGACTGCTGAGGTGCCCAAGATTGGTGGGTAGAGATGCATAAAATTCCTTTGAGGTAAAGGGAAAGCATGGCCAGGAAGCTGTCGAAATAGGCCTGAAAAAAAAAAAAAATTAGCCAAATCCTTAGTAGCCAGATATTTACCACTTGCTGATTGGACGGAGTAAGTCATGTCAATAACATTGGGAGAGATCATCCCATTACAGCCGTCATCAATTTCACTCTGAGATGTCATACTTCTTTCAAAGTCTAAGAACACACAAAATTGGGGTTGAACGCAGAAACAGTGAGATAATCACTCCTAGGTCTTGTATCATGGGTTTCAATTCTTGAATATCCTATTTTAACTAATATTTAGCTATATTATCTCTTTTTCACTGGGGTCAGGAATATCCTTTGGATACCATTTTGTAAAGCTAGTTTGAAAATTCGAAAGAATTTAATTGCATTTATGACTTATCCTATCTCTTTTTTTCTCTTTGATATGTCATCCCAGTGTGTGCTCTGACTATGGAAAATTTAGGGAAACCAGTGATTCTCATAGTTAAAGGATACTTCTTCTACCTCCGTTTTATGTGCGGTAACATCACTAAGTGTTCATCATTTAAAATCAGAGGGATCCCTGGTTAACTAATTAGAGGCAAAGGATTACATCTATGAAAGTTTTCCAACTGATGCATTGTAACAGATGCTGAGGTTCAATCATCCAAGTTACAGAGAAAGAAAAGTCAACCAGCACCATTAAATCTTCTGTGTTGTGCAGATTCTTTTGGTAAATTTTGCATATTCAACTGGAAATTGCAAATTAGGAACTTCTGTTCCAGTTTTTTTTTTTTTTTTTGGTCCTCTCCTTGAATCTGTAATTTGGTTTTATCTTTCTCTTTATTCCCCATTTCTCTGACTTTCATGTCCATTTTTTTTTTATTCTGTTTTTGTAGACATGCAATACACTTTACGGGTTTTTCCTTTTAATGTGATTATGCTTTGACAATACATAATAACCATTTAAAGTGATTATTGTCTATGACAATACTGATTGTAACACCTTGTGAAGAAGGTTCAATAGAGAAATAAGACAAACTTTTCTGTAAACGTATTAGTGAAAGTATACACACAGGATTTGTTTTTTAAATTACAAAAGACACAGCAGAATGTCTGGACTGAGATGCATGACTCAGGGAGACATTAAAAGGGATCTGAGTCCATGTTCCTGTTCTTAAATACCAAAATGTTATCTAAATTACTGACCTAGGTCAGAGAAATCTCTCAAAGAGCC